AGTGAAGTGTTGGCGAGTAGTGAAGCATTATAAATTATACCTTTATATTTTATTATCTGTTGCATCTCAAAATCTGATGTTTTTAAAGAAAATTCTATTGCCTTGTATTTCATACACCTAGATTTTTAGACCAAATGCAAATAATATTTTTAAAATGTTCCTATACGTTGATCGTACAAGGAATAAAAGAATTGCAAATAACCCGGTAATCCCAAGCAATCGTCACAAGGTAATTTGCATTTTTAGATAACTGTGAAGCCTTCTGTATTATCACACCTCGTAATTCGATAGTGTGTAGTAGTTCTTTATGTATTTTATCCACTCGTATATCCTCGAGGATAAATATGTCCAGCCGTCTATGAATTAGTGTTCCAAAGTCCTGTTTGTGCATAACTGCTTTTTAGTAAACTTCCAATATATTCAGAGGTGTGATTTTGATTTGCGGATAATTGTTATGGCTTGATGTTTGTACGCACCTATTGTGCCATTGCTTTACTACTGACGTGTACAAGAGCGGATCCCTTGTGTTGGTAAAGCGAACACTTCAGAAACTTGTATACCGGTATGCTGCAATGAACTGCTATGAATGTATGTTATATTATCGATTAAGCCTCATGTATTCTATATTTTTATTAATCATGATTGACACTGCTTCACTGTTTCAATAGCTGCTCGTATATGCACCAAACCTAAATCGGTTAAAGGCACATTCAAGGGAACAAAATTTTTTTAGCTCTCCCGTCCGATCTTTCATGAAAAGCTCATTATACGTAGCAGTATAAAGTGTAATATTTTATATATTAACTCAATATATGCTTATTGCCTTCATATAGTCACCACTATATCATTGTATCATAATTGAAGTAATTTAAGCGCAGTAGCTAGTTATAAGTGAACTGTAAAACGATCATAACGAGTACGAGCCCTGCACGCTGAAACTTAATGGCAGAACTTCGAGGTGCCGGCCACCATGTCTTGCCTTTATTATAATCAAAGTGGGACTAAGCATTACATTATCAATATAAATACTAGTTATGCTATTGCTACCAAGTCTTGGTGTGCATCACTATTTTTGTATTATTATTCGCGAGAAATTTCGAACTTCTCTCTGGTGGCGTGCACTGCGGTGAGATGGAGTTGAACGGTAATGCAGGTAGCGCGGACGCAGTACATGCTAATACCTTCGTTTCTTGAAATGTTTGGTAAATTCCAAATGTTTTTCTACATGTGAAATATTAATAATATTTTGAGAGAAATGACTTCATCTAACCTGACATGCATCTACTTCCAGTGATAGTACCTCTATTATTATTAGTACCCTGCCCGTTTAACGTGTATTATAAGAACACATTGTTGATGTCACTTGTTGCGAGGACGATTTGTACCGCCACTTATTCCATGATTCTTGTATCGATTCGTGTTGTGTATTGTTCGTGTTGTGTGTATAAATCCACTGAACTGTGGTCTGCTGAGTGTGGATGGTACCCGATAGTGGCAGCATTTGACACAAATTTCTCAGATTTTGTCTCTCAACATTCGCTTCGTATTGTCCCCTGGTCGTGCAAAGTCGTGTGTCAGTCATCCACTCACAAACAACAATGTTTAACTTGATTAGCGATTCTAAAAGATGTCCGCTGTCATCAGTGTGAGCTGTAGTGATCGACGCACACGCTAATTTTCTAAATTCGTGGCCTGTTTGCTTCTTGTCAATGCTTCTTGTCAAACGTACAATTTTACCTCTTTGCGAAAACCTTCTGAACTTGTCATTTTTAATGCATCGGATTTTGGTGGCTTCCAATTTTCCATATTTGAGTGAATTTTTAAAATGTTTTGCCGGTTAACAGTATTTTTCACATGTAGCATACCTTTATTGTATAAGTAAATTTTTTACATTTCTTAATGTAGGCTGAACTGTACAATAATGCGCATTCACCCTGCAGATTTATGTAGACAATCGTGTATAACGCGCATACTTTGCTGAAATGTCATGTAATATCGTGCATTGCTGATTAATTAGCCATATCATGTTTTAAGTAGTGATGAGCCGTTAAGTAGCTGAAGCAGCCATCGGAGACTCGGCTGCTGCCAAGTACAATTGTCGATTCGTCTTCCCGTCTCAATATGCTCAAAGATTCCCGTCTCAATGTGGTCAAAGATTCTTTTGAGGTTCACGTGACATACTTGCAAACTATTTCAAATACTGACGTGAATCAGTGACGACAGTGTGTTCTGAGGTTAGTAGTTTTGGTTACAAGCGCGTATTAGTAGACCTGAGCCTAGTTTGGCTAATTGTATTCTGTTGCGCTCAGTGACAGGGTAGCTGCAACTGTGGCTGCTGCCAGACCGAACTTCTATTTTTCAAGTAAACGAATCGAAAAATGAAATCTTTGCTTTTCTATCCCCGACCTTCTGCGAGGTATTTTTGCTTTAGGAGGTATTAAAGTAATCATTAGGCAATAGTTCAACTCGATGTAGACACGGGTAATATTTAAGAATATCATCAGAAGATCACATTTATTTTTTTTAATATTTCAGCAGTTCGGCGCCACCTGAATATGTTGGTCAAATTGATCCAAATTTAACACGCTTTATACTAAATAAAATAAAGTGGAAAAACTTGCAATTGGAACATTATAAGAGAAACATTTCGCTCAATTTGTCGCCCATTGCTACGCACAATAGCCAAACTAGCAAAGGCAACAAGAAGGGAAATAGTTCAGGTATTTTTACAAACCAACCACAAAAATTCTAAATCTGACTCAAGATATTTGAAAAAGCATCTGTTAGTGTCTAACGAAGCATTGATGGCTGCTCAGCGGTTTACCATAATTTAGACATGATGCTCTGAGAGAGGAACATTCGGATCGATCAGCACCTGTTTTGATCAATTTGATTTTTCTCAATATGTGAAGTAAATTGTACCTTTCACGTTTCATACAACAAACGTATTTTCAAAGTTTAATTTCATGTAAATTCAATTCAAATCTTCAATGAAAGTTGTATATATTCAACTGCTTATGTGAATTGTATTTTGCGCGGGATGTCTAATCCTGTTTCATGTAAATACTCCAATGCATATTATACATAACTAGTACGCAGCTTTGATAACGAGTCTAATTATAATTTCTGATAGCTAATTACAACCAAAATGGTATGAGGGAAGTGAACACGTTTGCTGCGAATCATTCTATTGTATTACTCACTTAATGTACCTTGTTCAGGCGCACCCTGCTGGTGAGCTTACCGGTGCCGGGAACTACTCTGTAACCACTGATCTTGAAACTTTAATCCATCTTCAACTATTATAATTTTTGCTGATTACTGAGCGCTGTTTCATTTATTGGAGCGAAATTGCCAATGTATATCATGTGTTTTCAACTCTATACTACTCATTCTGAATTTATCTATAAAATTTACATCCGTTTCTGCTTGTGACATGTGCTCTGTGTGTGACGGTTGGACTCGCTTTGGAAAAAAATCTTCTCACGCTTTGGGAAAAAATAATGTATTTCTATTGGTAATGGACCTTGTAAAATAGTACCATGTAGAAATCCTTACTTGCTTTCGCACCTTATGGCTTCCTCATGGTTGAATTAGTATAAGGTTGACCCATGAGAAGCTCATTTTCGCGGATGGAGCTTTTTGTTCGCATGTGACGTCATTGATCTCAGTGACGTCACGGGCATTAACCAATCACCGAAATGCGATCAAACCAGTCGACCAATCCGTCATGGGATTGAAGGGATTGTTTACGTTTCTCGATCTCATGTGACGCAACAAGAAAGCTGAACTGAAAGACGGAAATTCTCGTGGGTCAACCTTATATATAGTTCAACCATGGGCTTTCTTATCCTAAATGCTCTGCAAGTTGATACTAATAAAAAATATAATGATTTGACTCCGCAAGTTCCTTATATGGCTGTCAATTGTACGATTATTCCCGATGCTAACGCTGCATTTGCCTTCCTTAATTCTGGTTGAAGTTTGACTTCAGCTTATCATCTTGTGCTTCCGCTGCACGGCGATCTTTCTGCCGGCAACTGGCTTGTTGATGCCCAGGTGAGTGCTGCGTGGCAAGATTTGTGCGAGTGTCAAGGCAGAACCAACTTCGTGTAGGATTAAGTAAAATGATATGAAATACACACAGTTTTTATAGTTTCCGTATTTTTTCGTTCCTGATCGAAGCCTAAAGCGAGAACTCTTCATCAGTCCAATTGATGGAAAGAGAATCTTCTTTTGAGCTCAAACTTCTCACTCATCACACCGAACAGTGTGATGAAAAGGCTCGGTTCCAGTGAAAGCTGCCAGACACTTTTTGTACATTTTTTTAATGTTTCACTGCCTTTGAACCTTACTATCCCAAGATCAATCATGTCTAAACTAATGCCAATTGCTGTGCTTACGGGTGAAAACAAGTAGAATTGGACTACTGTTTCAATTAAAACTTAAATATCGACGTATCGGTCGGTTAATAAAGTATTTAATATTAAAATAAATTGACTACTATTTCTATTACATGCCATTCATTCCCAATGGAGTAAGTCGGGATCCGAGTGACTACTCATCCGCATTTGAACCGTCATAACATAGTGTGTTAAATTTAACTCCAATGTAAAAGAGGCTCCGAAGTTCTTTTAAACTTATCAATAGCCGAATAACTTGTCCAGTTGTTGAAGTTGTAATGCGATACACTTGGCCATATTAACTTCAATCATAAGGATCGTAATCTAATGAACATACATGCACAAATATGTCGTAACTATTTATTGTTGAGATTAACCCTACAGTGTCGCGTGTATGCATAAGTAATCTACGCCCTCGAAAATTGACCGTAACGAAACTGAACGAAAAGGTGGCCAATTTAGTCAATTTTAGCGAGAGATCACTGCAGAGTTAAGAGTAATATTTTAAGTCTTGTTGGAACTATCTAGTGTAGAGATTAGGAGTAACATGGAAGATTTTTACATATATAAATTTTAATGAGGATTTTTAATCGGCAGACCGTCCCGCCCAGGCGTCTCTTCCAGTTGACGCTCCTGCCAGAGACACCGTGCAGGGCGGCGCGTCTGAGGACGCAGACGCGAGACCTCCTGAAGAAGTTCCTCTGATGGCGAGCTCGTCTGATGATCGACCTGCTGTTATCAAGAAGGCTGATCACTGATCGCCTCACTTTGGTGAAATATTCTAAATTCAAGATGTGGCATATCTTGTTTGTATACATCGAGTCGTTGATTGATTTCATAAATTCCACAAATTCTTAGAAGCTTCTACTTAAAACAGTTCCAAGCGCGATTAATCCACCATTACTGAGAACATTTTGCCCCCATACAAATATCTCATGGAACTAAGACGTAAAATTGTAGTCTTGCTCGTTAATGGCAAGTCAAATTAAATGAAAGAAACGCAGGGATCGTTACGGTAGGCAAACTTGCATTTACTCACTCATGGGCTAAAATAAAACATTTTCTTGTTACCAAAGAATACGATTTTCACAATGAATCTATGTATAATTGTAATATTCTCAAATGAATAAATTTGTAATGATTTAAATGAATTTGGCACTACAAATGCTATTCTGCGATCGATCGAAAAATTTAGTTTGTAATACGTCAATGCTTCTAACTTTATGATAGTGTGTATGACTAAACGAAATTGATTTTACTCTACCAACGCTCTATTCCGAGCGTTCGAAAGAGCAACTTTTCAACGTATAAGAATTACCTCCATTCTCTACAACATTCGCCAATTTTGGCATTTCAAAATACTGGGTAGGGAGTTTTTTTCTTTGACATTTAAACATTTATTGCCTCGCGAACGCGGTAAACAGGTTTTCATCTTTATAGAAACTTTCAAAAATATTTTAGACTTGACAATATTGTTACTCCTAGACTGCGCTCAGTTCTTGGTCCCGTACAAATATTATTTTAATCGATTCAGTTTAACTAAGTTTCGCATTTTGTAAGTTGCCGAAAAATGTTGGTTTGTCGTGGAGCGAACGCCGATTCCTGCGCTGCTCGATGATGTTCCGGGCGCCCGCAGCTGACTGTATTTCAGGTTCACGAGTGGACAGACATCATGGTCCTATTCTTCTGTTTGTTTGAAGCGTTTTTAAATTAAGTCAATTGTGCGCGTGCCGGAATTTTTTGAAGAAAAAATTTTATTTTATGCTGAGCAAAAGAATTGCAGCGCACGTTAGATGGGAGACATTTAAAAATTTTAAAATACCTTCACTGGAAGAGGTCTAGAATCAATCACCCGAGTTGATGTATGTCAAGACTAAGGTTCTAATGACATTATGGAATGGATTTGTGTTTTAGCAAATTCATTTATTCTATTGCTTTCTCAGCGAAACTGCATGAAATAAGCCTGTAATAATAATTGGTTTATGTACGTCTCAATTAATGCAACGTTGTTGGAATTTCACTGCCGTCCTTCGTCTGTAGTCGTTCTAATTGATGTTCTGACGCTTTTCTGTACGAAGAATGGCCTTTTATATAATAATATAATATATGATTATAATTCTGTTATATAATTTATATTCTATATTGAAGAATGACCGAATAAATAGCTTCATTTTATTTTGAAAGGAGCACATTTTCACTACCACAGTCACTCACCACGTGTCATCAGCTCTACTTACTTAACGTTCATCGGTTCAGACAAAATCGTGACCCTAGGGCAGGTCTTGAACTCCGTCTAGCTTGAAGCTCCTGAGTTTTGTTGATTTTCTGCAATTCAAGTTGTTTTTTGTATTTGATTTGAGTTTTTTCCTCTTTATAAACGAGTGATTCGATCGGTTGTTCATCAAATCAACTCCCTAGAAATACATAGTTTGAACCGAGTTGTTCAATGGTTTGGTTTAGTGATCAAATGGACATGTTATCAGTAGTTTTAAAGGGACCAAAATAGTGGGCGTATTTTTCGAGCGAACTTTATTTTCGTCACTTAGCAGACAAAGTCTGTTATTGAATTATTTTTCACTACAATATTTCGATGAAAACTTCAATTCTCGTCTGCTTTTAAAGTTTGAACGTAACTAGCTCTCCCATTCCCATGTTGAAGACCCAGTATAGAGCGGCATGACCACCGTCTGAAGCGCTCTAATAAATCTGGCCAAACTTCACAGCTTAGTCGATTTAATTCCTGAACTCAGTAAACCACGTGAATGTTTCATAACATAAAAACAATCTTGTACAAACTGAAACGTTAACACTAATGCGGTACGAGTTTATTTTTGATTTTTTGAAGAAGTCGTCATCAGCCATGACATTGTTTTAAAATAATTTTGGTTTATTTATGCATTTCATGTTTAACCCTTCATAACGTTCCTCGACAGCTGGTGTGAATTGCTAGTATCTGTTTACTCTCAAGAAATGTGTCATCTGAACACCTATGTATGATGACGAGCTTGAACGCTTCATAAAACGAAAATTTACTAAGGTTACGAATTATTTGTATGGTTTTAACCGTCGCTGGAAGGATTTGTGCTTTTAATAAAGCTAAGTTTATTTCTAGAACGTTTTAGGGAATTTACATGCGCTGGAAAAACAGTAAAACTAAAAATCCCTACGTTAGTTACGGATTAGTATTTTAATAATTATAGGAAGTTCAATAATCTATTTATTATATACGAAAATTTTTGTTCTTCGAAGCAGCTTGACAATACAATATCGAGAAATTCATAAACGAGTTGTGTACTTGTACTGTGGGGAAGAGAAAGTCAATATTCTGCTAATATGAGTGCCTCTTGTCCACGTGTATTAACCTTTTTTGTTTCATCGTGTGTACATTGAACTTTTCAAAAGATGTCTATTACAAAGTTAGCTCATAAGTAACATTGCACAATTTGCAGTGTTCAGCAGTGAGTTGCGTGTTCGAGGCCGCAACAAGCTGTGAATGTGATGCTTTGAACCGGCGACAGGCCTAACGGCCTGCTCAAAGCTGTAACCGTTATTAATATAACTATTCAATTTGCAGACCTAATGATTCCATAGTCCAGTTAGTAAGCTCTATGAACTCTTCACATTCTAGTGGTAGGTTTAATATTAGTCAGGATTTTAGTCTCCGAGTTAGTGTCTAATAAGATGTAAGTTTCCTTTTAGATAGCAAACGTTTTTATTGTTTAGTTTAGATTGTTGTTAAATTTCATAATAGTTCAAATAATTTAAACCGTTGAAAATCATTGCCTGAATTTCATAAGTCGATTAAACTCTCGCACGTTACAACTAATTGTTTGAAATTCTCAATTGTAAGTATGTACTGTTTAACTATTATTATCGTTTGTCAGCTTATTTGGCTATAATAACCGTCGACTCTACTCAAGAACGCACTCCGTCCATTAAAACTTGAGAAATATTTAATTTATGCGCGATTGGAACAGAGGAAGTTAATTTTAGTTCGCATTCGGTAGCTCATTTTTGATAACGTGTTTTAACCACGAAAAAAGCAGTGATGCTTCGCATGCTCTAACATATATTGTTACCCTTAAAATATGACCATACGGTGAACATGAAAAAAAGGACATGGATGGAAAATATAATATTTGTGTGAGTGAGTGAACTTAATAAAGTGATCACTGCCTTGTTTTGTAGCAAATAGATTATATTCTCCCATAGTCACAATCACTGCAGTTTGAATGTTTTAACACAACTACCCTCATTTCCTACAACTTTTTGTATGCGAAAAAAATTCTTACAGTCACTTTACCTTCATCATGATGCAGATGTCTCCTTTTTATTCCGTTCTTGTTTTAAAAAATTAAGATGTATGCTGTCCCATGTACGACGATTTAATTTAAAAGCGATGAAAATATATCCCGTTTATTTGCTTCAACCGAAAATTATCCCTAAAACATCGTTTCTTTTGGTGTACCTCTGTTTAGTTTGAACGTGAAATCAGAATGTATTAAAATTTATGAATATTAGCTGGGGCTCAAGGGCGACTAATGCAAAAGAGAGAAAAGGTGTAAACAAATGCGAGCTGAGAAACGCTGTGTGAATGAGGAGAAAGATTAAGTCTCAACATTATGCAAGCGCACACTCTGTGAGACACTGTGAGCACGACAACGCTGTGGCTCCAGGTGTACTGCAGACTCTAGTCTTTATTTCCCCTCGATCTTGTAACCGCAACAACCTCATTAGTCATTTCAGTCTTTGTGCCGGCGAGGAGGCCGCGGGCGGTTATGCACAGCAGAATTGGAGCAGTGAGTTGCGTTTTCGAGACCGCAACAAGTTGTAAATGTTCTGCGATGTTAAGAATCAGCGACAGGCCTACGGCCTAATAAACGCTGAAACCGCTATATTATCATTAGGTTATCTATCGAGCATGTAAAGGAAGTCGGTAGCCAACGAGCAATTTTGTAATTTATTTTCATCCTACAGCATAATGCGAGTAAGAAGAACACAAATTTCCGATTAATCATCTATTATGCTTTCAAAAATTATTTATTTAATTGTTTGTTTTTCAATTTATTTGCGGACCATGGCACATGTCATCATCTACTTTACATGAATTTCTTAAATATATTCCATGTGCTTACCAACACTGCACGTCATGCATTTTTTTCTTGCAGTTCTCCTGCACACAAAACATTTCCCTGCTTCACCATTTTCTGCATATTGAATGTAGTCAGCACCGGATTTCTTGGTGTCAAATACTATTTTTTGATCAATGATTTATATAGGTATAGGTATATATCTATAAAAGGTATATAGGTAGAGGTATACCGTAAAAAATGCAATACAGTGTATTAATGATTTGTATAGGTATATACCTATAAAGGTATATAGGTAGAGGTATACGAAATACCGCACCATGTATCCAGATTCTACACATAAGGAAATTCCAATCCATCATTCAAATGCCGAGGTCTGTAGGATCTGACCATTATTTCGTTGATTTTCAAATTTTCAGAGAACATACTAAATTTTAGGAAGCATTGATTCTGTTCGTCGATTAAAGGGTGAGTCTTCAAGCGTCAAGCGGGTGAGTCTTCCTCATCATCTCACGCATTGGAGATCCATGTCCTCATCATCTCACGCATTGGAGATCCATGTCCTCATCATCTCACGCATTGGAGATCCATGCTCTCCTCATCTCACGCATTGCAGATCCATGTCCTCATCATCTCACGCATTGGAGATCCATGTCCTCATCATCTCACGCATTGCAGATCCATGTCCTCCTCATCTCACGCATTGCAGATCCATGTCCTCATCATCTCACGCATTGCAGATCCATGTCCTTATCTTTACACGAAGTCTTTTTTTTATGAGAAGTTTGAGAGCTGGTGAAGAAGAATTAACACAAATTTTTTATACACTGATGTGAAAGTTGAAAGTGATGAACGTTTTCTGTCTGACGCATATGACGCTCTGCATTGTGGAATGCGCTGCAATTTATAATAATAGTAATGGCGGTTTCAGCGTATATTAGGCCGTAGGCCTGTCGCCAATTCTTAACATCGCAAAACATTCACAGCATTTTGCGGTCTCGAACGCGCAACTCTCTTCTTCAATAATGCCATGCTTAACCGCCCGGCCTCCTCGCCGATTCTGCCAAGAAACTGGCGCACAGAGCTGGGATCGAACCCGCGCCTCTCTGCTCCAATCTTGGTTCTGAACTGTAACCACTGGACCACCCTGCCCTTTTCATCATCAAACCATTTCTCAATGCAGTACCGGGCTCTTCCCTTTGAGTTTGGTAAAGAGATGACTCCTCCTTGCCTCCCCAGCATCAGAAGGCACAAGAACGGAGTAACATGATTGTTTTTCTTTGAAGACGAAATCAAAGGTGGTGTTCGCTTTTTAGCGGTGACAACATCATTTTAGATGTACATATTTGTTCTGAATGGTAGTCGTAATGATAGTCGTAACGTCCTGCTGCACAGGGAATTTCGAATTTAGGTATAGATGGGGATATCTGCTGGGTATTATCGTCAATAATATCGGTGACTGCTTTGTTGAAAGAATTTTCATCAATTCAGTTTGGAACAATTAATTTCTTCATTTTTTAAGATGTCTGATGGGCCATTGTCCAAACTTTCATCCTCAAAATTATGAAAATCACTTGCAATGATGTTAGATTTATTATCTTTCTAAGAAATGAACACATATTGTGTCGTTTCTCATAGGAGCAAATAGAAAATATTAGTTTAATTTCTATAAGTCTGTAACAGCCATGAGCACCGCATCAACACTTTTGGCCCGGAATTTGGCCTGGATTTTGGCCCGAAATTTTTCTACCTAACTAAAGGTAGCAACCTCTTCACGCAACAAAATCCTAAAGTCTCACCCAATTATAACAGCATCAATTAACTACCACAACACATGATATACTCTGCATCCACGATATGCAGCATCCATGATACACTGCATCCACGATATGCAGCATCCATGATACACAGCACCCACGATATGCAGCATCCATGATACACTGCGGGGGTACGACATTTGGTTCGTACTGTAGGCAAGCGATTTGACGCCACATGTGAGTCTTACCTTAAATTTAAAGGGCCAGCAGTAGGTCAGCATGACACACATATGGGGCAAGTGGGTCTTAAAAGTGCATCGTTTTCTTGACGGTTGACTCATCAATGTGCGTCATCCAGACCCACCCATTTCTCTCGGTGTAGTAGCTTATGTTATTTCAAGACCTAACTCACGACTCGCTTCTCATCAAAGCGGAGGAAGCCGATAGCAACGATGAACTAACTACCACATCGAAAACTTCAAACTTTTCTGCCCATTTAATTTTAAAGTGCGTCTGATATTATCAATTAATGAAATTTATAATATTTTTATTTGTGTTGAAGCTTGACATACATAAAACTTGATAACTCTCACGTTGAGCTGTGTCAACGTGAAGCTTCAATTAACCACATGGAGCTGAAGCTATATTGGTTTAATCCTTTGTTCACTGACCTCAAGAAAACTATCGTAATAATCTGTAGCGACTCCAATTTATATACCTCTTGTAATTATTTCTTGTAAACGATTTCAATGAACTCTCTTAGCTATTTTAATACAAATTTCGCGTTAAAGCCATCCTAAAATACACTTAAGCTCTTAAATATAAAATTATATGTTCATGTATTAAATTTATTACATACAAAATTTCCGACCAAATCCATTTAATATGGCCTGAACATGAATTTAATGCTATAAACGTACAGTACTTCGTGGTTTAGTTGCAGTAGTGTAATCAAGATGTTGCTAGCTATGAAATGCTAGCCCAAATCCTGTACATTTTCTGGGGGCTTATCCCCTCGGTCCTTAACCCTCTACCGCCTGACACGAGTAACCGGAGCAGTGTTGTCACGCGTCTACTTCCCAGAAAGGATACGTTCAAGTGAGCACTAAATGACTTGCACTGATGGTTGCCGCCACGTACAATAACTTTAAAATGTTTTCTGTTGCGTAGAAACGTCCTCATGTTGCTACGCTCAATAGTTTACGTATAATTTAAGTTGAAAGTTATGTTCCCGGAGAGTGACATACGGCGGGAGAGGGTTAAAACTTAGTGACGCCCCTGGCCATCAAGAAAGGTTTTGCCCTCATGTCTCCGTATGTATTGGTCCGCATTGGAAGTATGTCTTGATGTAGCGTTGAATTTAAAGTAAGTCAGCGGTCATTCCAAGTAAACCACTGAAAGTATTGTTACCCATCATTACTAGGATAAAGGAAATAATAATAATTTTTTAGATCAATAAATGACATTGGGTTAATGAAAGTCTCTGGTCTTAGTGGAGGTAATTGTTTAATTCCCTTTCAAATTGTCGTCAAGATAATATTTTCTAATACATAGACCTAATATTAATCCTAAATATTTTGAAAATTAAACCCACGATTGTATATGAACATGCGGGAAACCTGACGTTGACTTCGGTCTTTCTTGTTGAATTGCTGGTTGGACATGTGACTGGTAGGGTTGACCGATCCTCGAATTAGTTTGACCGACCCGACTGCCATTACATCACGAAGTCGAGTTATAATGCTACTGTTACGATAAACTGCGCGTGAGTGTTGAAGTAAAAGAACAAATAATTGTAGTCTTGCAACATTGCCGTACAAAGAATCGATAATTTTTTCATTTCAACAGCATAAGAGAATATGTTAGGGCTCTACATGTGATGCAGCCCCATCCTCCGGAGGAAGCTCTTCGCCCAGGTAGGGTTGAGTTTGATGGGTCCGCCGTTCTCCTCGAGCAGCGAAGCGTCTTCTCTGATGAGGACTTGTTTAGCTGTTGCGATCACTAGGAACGAAGAGACCTGCTCATATCCAGGATACCATCAGTTTCGGTTAAAATGAACAAATATTTGCTTCTGTTTGAAAATTAAGGAAGGAATTGAATAAAAGTATTTACCTCGCTTGACACTGTCCATTCATTATTGGATTTTGCAACTCATACTGATAACTGAATTCATATGGACAGGAAATAAATAATAAGAAGGCATTAACAGCACGAAATAAAAAAATCAAGGCGTTCATCTCATTTCGAAATTGATCCTGTTTTGGATAATTTTTTCACCAGAGAGATAACTCTACTGATTACTTACTGATCAATCATGTTGATGTCGAGACATGATAGATAGAATGGGGTGCAAAACTATTTTATAGTTCAGGTATGTGATTATCTTTGCATGTTGAATGGATTTTAAATAACATATAATCAATAAATAAAGGTGGAAAATCATTAACCCATTCACTACATGTTCCTAGAATCAAGTTTACTTATATTTTCACATCAACATCATACAGTGAAAAATATCTAGTTCTCCTTGGGAGATAAATGCACATGTATAGGAAAAAATGAGAATAATTTTAGATTTATTAAAATTCGATTAAATTGGAAAAGTAATAAGAAAACTACGTACGATTTCTCATCCTTTTCTCCATCCTCCTTTATTTATTTCGGCAATGATATTTTTAACATTTCGCAACCCACAACAAAAATTATGCACATATTTTTTGATCGAATGTGGGGAAGAAAGTATAAATTCTGTATATTTTTATGCTCACAGGGAGTGAAAGCTTACCGTACTAAAAACAAACAGGAGTAATTTTATTTGTTAAAATCTATAAGCAAAATATCTTAAATTTGTGGTAAATTTGTAATCTCGAGCACACATCACAGGTTAGTAATGCCACTTGCCTTTTCTCCGGATTTGACGAGCTCCTGAATGCAGTCACGCACGACTTCGTCATATTTGCCAAGCCTCATAGGGCGACCACGTTGCGCGAATCCAAGCCACGTGACTTCGTTCTTTCCAGAGAGCTTCTTATTGAGGTACTTGTCTTTGAGTCCACGAACTGTGCTTTCCGGAATAACGATCTTGTGATGTTCCTTATAGAATTTGACTGCAGCTAGATTTCCATGTTCTGCTGCATATTTCCCGATAGCTGCACGAACTTCGGGGCTGTAAGAAACGTAATTACCTCGACGCACGATAGCTGCTCTACGCGACCTCTGATGGAGTTTTCTGTACGTATTTCTTGGTTGAATAAATTCCGGAGAAGTTGGTGAGGGATCTAATTCAATGGCGTGTTCATGTTCACTTTTTTTTATTTTATTGAAGTGCGAAGGGCTTGAATCTTCGTTAATAATGCTTGAGTGTTCCGCAGTAGTAAGGATGTTGACGGGATTATTGGAAGAGCAAGTTTTCACAGATTTACTGGTCGATGTCGTTATATTCAAAACTCCATGGGAAGGTTCATTGCGTTCATGTTCGGATACTTTTAACAAGCATAGAGGTTCGCCAGACAAAGAAAGATTCTCGAACACATGATTGTGCGATAACCCAGTGAAACATTGTACTGTTTGGTGTGGTTGTTGGAGTCCGGTTGGATGTTGATGAAGTAAGGGTTGTAAGTGCAGCTGGTTGTTATTCGTTACCGACTGGTTATTAACATTAGGGTTGATGAGTGTCAACTGCTGAGGCTGTATCACTGTATTCTGAGGCGCCATAGAAGCTTGCATTGAGTGAGGCAAACCAAGAGGCGTCTGGCCAGCAGAAGCGTTTGACGAAGTCAGTTGAGGGCCATATCCATCGATGTAATTTTGTGGCTGTTGTTGGAAGCTGTTTCCATCTTCTGCATGTTGTTGTTGTTGATGATGGTGCTCTACGTGAAAACTCTGGTTCATGATGACTGATGATGAGGATGCTGTTTGCGGCTGATAAGGAACAGGGTTCATATTTGAGTGGATCGTAACGTTCGAGGGGTAAGAGTGTCCTTGCATTGGAAGATTATTCGAAGAAAGGCTTGAATGATGAGAACCAGAATGTGCATTGTGAGCGTAGAGCTGATGGTATGGGAAATGATTAGTAGTGCTTACATTGCCAGAAGATGGTGCAATCGAAGAGAGAACGGTTTGACTTACTCGCTCATGAACATTATCATCAGCATTAATTTGTATTTGTTGGTCGATCGCTGAAACTTCGGATATCGATGTTTCAGAAGTGTTTGTGTTACTTGGTCCGGCCTGGTTAGTGTTTTCCAAGAATTTCTTTTTAAACTTTCGAATAGTGCTTTCTTTAACGGGAAATTGTAACTTTTCTGAAAAATGCTGCATTGCCATATTAATGCCCAGCTGATGGGCGAATTGGCCTATTTCTTCTTTCATTTGCTTTGAGTAGCTTCTTTTGCTAGTGGATCCAAACCTCGATAGTCTTTTTTTGTTTTCATCGGATTCTTCAGGCTCATCTGAATTAGCTGCACGCGCCAGGTAGAGTTTTTTGAACTTTCGCATTTGCCCTTCCTTGAGTACAAAGCCAAGTTCTTTAGTGTAATATGCCGTGGCTCTTTGAAGCCCGTATTTTACTGCGTATTTACCCATGCTTTCTTGATCGCAAACCGAAAATTTTTTGTATTTTTTGAAGAAGTTTCTGACGGTGCTCTCACTTAGTGGACTACCAAGTTTTGAAGACCAAACTCGGCAAGCCTCCTTGATCCCGCGCACCAAAGCAAAGCGGGCGATCTCTTCACGAGTCTCAGGGGAGTATCTGAAAGTATAGGCATTCTTTCTTAAAATACATTAACAGTCATAAAATTCAACAGTATTAGGATAAATTTGACACTTCTGATATTAGATCATTCTGAACTGAACTGCAATGGCTGGTAGTAGATCTAATTAGGTAAACAAAGATCTTTGTAAGTAACTACCACATGCCGAAAGTATGCATTATTTCGAAAGTCTTTCAATATATTCAATATTACATCGAAATATCTTCAAAGCTAGTAGTGAATTTTGTTATGTCTTACCTGGTGTATTTGCCTCTAAGACATCGCTCGTCCTTAGTAGCCATGAGTAAGTTCTTAACAGCGGCCACGGTGGAGGCGGTGAGACAATCGTGATGCGTTCCAGCCTGAACTTCTACTTTGGGCTTCGGGTCCAATGAATCATGCGGTATGCTTGCATCTACTGAAACAGCTTGAGTTGTTGATGGACTTTCTATTGTTATCACACGCCCTTCGTTAGCATCGAATGGATGATGGATGATTTCGATGGTAGCCTTATCACTGTTTCCAGCAACAGAAACAGCTTCAGGACTTGTAGTGTTAACGCAGCATTCATTGTTGATGCTTAAGATTTGAGTTTGTTGGCTATAGGGTTGCACTTGGACGTTGTTTTGATGCGGGACTGGCTGCTGCTGAGAAACTACATGTGAATGTTGTTGCTGATGTACTACCTGCTGATGGTGTTCCGCCTGGTGACCTGTACACTCATGAAAATGATTGGTTTGATGTAAAACAGTTGTTATTGGGAGCGACTGATACTGGGGTTGAATGTGTTGTGGCAACGTAGAAACACGGGGGAAGTGTAACTGAATGTTGGAATGTTGCTCCAAATGTTGTTGTTGCAGCGGGTGACGCTGCAAGTTGTGTGAGACAACTTGAGGCGGCAACGGGTGAAGTTGTGGTTGCAAATGTAGCCCAGATATGTGCTGCAACCGAGCATTTTCTGCAGCATGATTTTTCTTGTTGAGAGTGCAACCAGCAGGACCACGACTGAAGTAGGTTGGTTCTTCTGCAGGAAACCGAAACTTCAAAGTAACAACAATAAACGTAGTTTGATAGTTTATGGATATATTCATCGTAGGTGAAAATTATTTTCGTTACTTGGCTTTCGATTTGATCAGGGCATTAAATCTAGGTCAACTTTATTTAATTGAAGATGGATCGACGCTAAATTTTGGAATATAGTTGTCCTATAGTCTTTACTTTCTTAGATCAAAAAACTATTTACCTGAAATCTAGCAATACGTTCAAAATTGGAATGTGTTTAGATCTGAAAGCGCGATATGATTTATATAGTTATTCAAGAACACTTACCCTTCAATTTTGTAACAGGCCGTAGCTTCCGCTTTCTTTTTGTTGGCACGATTCTTGGATTCATAGCGTTCACTTTCTGTAAAAAATGTTAATATTCGAAAATAAGATATTCTGCATCATATTCATCCTTCATTACATTTACGTTTCAGGTGCAACCAAGATAACTGTCACTATATACTACGCCGAGATCATTTTTGGAAGCTTCAATCATCCTGTATCTTCTTTTCGTTCATGGAATTACGAAAGTTTATCGAAAAATCTAGAAAACTCCAATACACAAAAACGAAACTGTCAAAAGCTTCCCCTGAATCATCTTGTTACATGATTGGATATTCCTGTCATGCAGTCACCAGATTTGAATTTACTGAAGAATGGATGGCATTACAAAAATAGTAGATTGTGCAGCGTTATCTTATTCTTTGTTTGAAATTAAAATAATGAATATTTTACATATTCGTCTACTTTATGAATCGAAGTCAGCGATTGAAACCAATGTTTCAAGGAAACCGAGTTTACAATATAGATCAGGGAATGACGATACTTTCTAGAGAATCGCTTGGATACAATTAACTTTATTAGCTGTAAAACGAATAATTTTTCTTCATAATTTAAGCAATTTTCGTTCAAATTTTCAGAACATTCGAAGCTTTTGAGTTATACTAGATGGTTTTGATTGAAATGAGGCATCTAAATTGCTTGCAAGTTTGTAGTTTCGTAAAATACGAATATAGTGGCTTCAGAAGGGTCATAAATATAGAACTGTAATCGTGCATGAGCTGCAGTTGAGGCTGTTATGAATGGGATTTACGGGCGCAACCAGAAAATCAGCAGAGGAAAAAATATTTCGAGGACGTACAAGCTTTTTATGGGCATTGTATTAAAGCAGCGCAGATAGAACGGAATTCCTAAGTCAAGTGTCGGTAACATGTTAATTTTAGCAAAGCAGGTTACGTAAGCCACAGTAATTGCCAATAAGTTGTTCTATAGTCGTCACGGGGGCACAACCAAGAGTTCTGAACGGACAATCTACATGTAACGACCGTATGGACTTCGTTCTATTACTGAATGTACAGCTTGTAATAGCACAACGGCCAGGGCAATCGTTACTCAATCATCACTAAAATAAGCAAAATGTGTGAGACGATCACGTTATTGACAGTAACATCATTAATACGACTGGCCCAACAGACAAATGCCTTGCGGGAGAGTGGCCGCAGCCAACAGCGGCGGTGGCACGGTACCGAGCTGGGAGAAACACCATAACAGTGCAGACACCGAAAACCATACAAAGTAAGTCAATGCCGGCCGTGAAAATCTTTAGGATGAAGCAACTACGAATGACGGACAAGAGACTATAACTGTGGGTACGACCACTTGAAACTGTGTATTGTACTCGGGTACGACCACCTGGGCACGACCACTTAGGTACTGTGGGTACGACCACTTGGGTGCTGTGGGTACGACCAATTGGGTACTGTGGGTACGACCACTTGGGTGCTGTGGGTACCACCACTTGGATACTGTGGGTACCACCACTTGGATACTGTGGGTACGATCACTTGAAACAATACAAACGGCAGTGAAGCCACGAAAGTTAGAGGAATATACGGGCAGGGTACCGACACCATATGGAACCGAGCCACCGATCAAGATCTCCCGGTAAAGTTGGATAGATTTTTGAAAAATTAGTCGAGGCATCTCATTTTGCTGTGGGCAAATTGTTTACTAATTGCAGGGAAAACGATGAAGGGATTTGCAAATTGGCCATTGGAAGAGGAGGTAATAGATTTATTCTATTTCTCTTCAAGATGGTTCCATTTAGATTCTTTCTGCATTTATCAATGATTATCGTTATGAGAGCGTAGCCATTACATCGTAAAAGTTAAGAAGAACGGATTTAATTTCCCTGAGTTAAGGAATTGTTCTCACAAAGGTATAACAAACTCCAGTCCACTCACCAACCAGTTGTGCCCCAAGCGAGTTCATCATTTCATAATTAATATCATGATTTATTTGTTCAAATTGATACAGGGAAACAGCCGATTCCATATTTAGGGAAACAGCATTCTCAAAGTCCTGAAAAATCATGGAGCACAAGGCAAGAGTGTAGAAATGTAATAAGCGCCCATAATTTACCAACCTGTTCTTATGATCCGACCTTCTTGAACAACAAACTTATTCTACGTTGTAACGTATACCTTTTGAATAAATTCACTCTGAATCTGTCCACTGCCCAGTGAGCACCTGGTATCATTTCCTTCCTAATTCATGAGATCGCAGTCGCCCCAGCACGCTTAAACTAGCATTCCATTAAAGAGTTTACATCTTACCTGAGTTTCTCCCTGTAAGGCTGCTCTGCGCCGCGCTGCTTCTCTATGTTTACGTTGGTGGATGCGGAAGCTGATTTTACTCGCCAATGTTTCATCGCAGTGACGGTACTGCAAGTTATGTGTGCAAATATTAACTAGTAAAACTGTAATATTCTTAAAAAGACATACGAACGTAATTTTTATCAGTTTTTATCTAGGATTAGATAAATTATAGAACGGTATTCAATATCAGTTTAAAATCAGATCAACAATTAAATGTTTCTTGCATGCAAATGATTCAAATTCATGTCCAACAACTTCCCAAAGTGTAGAAATCGCTAGAGGATACCGGTAATAAAACTTTAATATTTGCACCAGTTTATGATTAAGCACACATCAACCAACGATGGAACTGTAAAGAAAAATAATTAAATGTTTCACCTGTTGAGTCGCACTGTGTAGATGTCGCCTTGATTTAGCTTGGGATGTGAAACTGCAGATTGCATCAGACGCAGCACTTGCAGAACCTACGAATCATTCGTGTGATATATTAGTTTAGGGATAGAACTTCGAAGAAAAACAATCCTCATCAATAACACAATCGAATATAACGGAAACCGTTAGTAAAATATGCGTTTGGATAAGAATGCGCTTAACAAAGTAAACTCTATTAAATTAATATTAATTCAATGTAGTGTTGGTTGATATTAGTGTGTAGTTGCAGGTCAACCCGTCGTTGCCCAAGCTTAAAAATTTTCGTTAGAAAAGTCACCATAACCTTCAAACAGGAGTAGGTTAATTTAAGGACACTTTCATGCCCGCAACTATCACGGAACTTCCGTTTCTAAATTTGAAGACAAATGTAACTTTTTATTCTTTGTTACTTGTACACTTACCAAATTTAGAATCACCTCTCAATTTTTTTTATTCCAATCATAACCTCTCATCTTGCAGTGACTCGTGATTCCCGCGTTAAAAATGGAAGCAGTTGTTATAAGATTCAACTCTTAATCAGCACTGGCGTAGCGTCGTGTCAGAAATAGATTTTATATACGCAAAATTTTAATGTTTAAACGCGCGTATACAATCTGCGGCCGACGCTGGTCTAAATTAAATTCATACTGGGAAAATTCAGTCCATTCTTATTTTTGTTATTATCTTTTGTATATTACTAAAAGTTTGTACGCTTGTTAGTCTGTTTGAAGCCTGGCACTAAAAATTTACAGGTCATCGGAAGCGAGTTCCAATTTTAATCACGTTGGGATATAATAATAATGATAATATAATAATAATAATAATAATAATAATAATAATAATAATAATAATAATATAATATTATATGATAGCGGTATCAGCGTTATTGAGGCCATGCTGCTGGTCTGTCACCACATCACCGCACGGCCTCCTTGCCGATTCCGAGAAAAATGGCACAGCAAGCGGATTTCGAACCCGCAACTCTCTGCTTCAATACAGGTACCCTCAACCGTAACCACTGCGACACCCTGCCATTATCTGGATCGAACGGCAGCGAGACAGACATCGTAGCAATTTGTTGATTTTTATATTTCCTTGACAATTGTTCCATCATACATATTGTAAACACATCGTGCGAAGTCGATCAAAGTGATTAATGCATCAAGACAAACTATTTACGAAGAGACCCTAGCTTATATCTCATGTCCGTAACTGATGATAAAAAATTAATATTGAAGTTGTATATTATTACTCAAAAAGTCTATCAGTCATATTATAAGCATCTAATGTGTCACGCGTGAAGTGTGTCACGCGTGAAGCGTGTCACGCGTGAAGTGTGCCACGTGTGAAGTGTGTCACGTGTGAAGTGTGTCACGCGTGAAGTGTGCCACGTGTGAAGTGTGTCACGACCACGTGTGAAGTGTGCCACGCGTGAAGTGTGTCACGTGTGAAGTGTGTCACGCGTGAAGTGTGTCACGTGTGAAGTGTGTCATGTGTGAAGTGTACCACGTGTGAAGTGTGCCACGTGTGAAGTGTGCCACGTGTGAAGTGTGTCACGGGGATGAAATACAAAAGAAAAAATTTGTTACGACTTGAAGCCGTAAATATGACGATAGTTTTGCTCTGAAGATTCCCAAGAAATTAGGGACAGTTGAGAGAAAATGCCTTCTCTATGCTAAGCGCCAGTCTTTTAAAGGCTATTTTTTTAAAGCCCAACTTATTCTTAATTTTATCATCCAAGACATGTTTTCAACAAACAGTTTCTGCTAGCCCGTTAAGTTCTTCAACAACAGGCCGAGATGCGGGGAAACAGAAAATCTGTATATTGCGTCCATAGTTATTCAGTTATTCTTCTGTTGATACGTTATAGTGTAACTTTAATCTAGAGTTGAGCTCTTACCTTAGAGTTCTCTTTTAATTTTGGCACACATGACTGAACATTAAAGAACCGAACTTCCAGTAAATTTCTCGAGGCTCAACCTTATCAATTACGTATGTGAAAATCACAAAGATGAATGACACTGGGGTTGAACAAAAATATGTTTTCTTGCTCACTCGCAAGTAACAGGTAATGTGGTTACCTGCAGCAGGGCAGCGACCGAACATCTGAGAGAATGCAGACGCTCCAGCGGCGCCTGGTCGTAAGTTCAGTTTGAAGAGCTGATGCTGCACCTCGATGTCCCATGACAAGCCGTCCCGTGATACTACCTCCTCAATCATCTCATCTGTTTCATTGAAAATTATTTGAATCGTTTGAAGATTATTCACACATCAGCCACATCAGCATCTTTAAAAGAAACGAGCTAACAAAAGATTTACGAGAAATTAGCAAATGATTTAGAATTTAAATTTAATAGGTACAATAAATTTTCTTACAAATCAGCTCCTAAATTTTTCCTTCCCCACCACAAAAGTCAGGTTAAAGGAGTTCGGTACCCCAAAGACGCCGCCATAATTTTTCATACATCATTTTGAGATAAATCAGATCTATAGTTTTCGAGCGAAAGACTCTCTAAGACATTCTTGAACATTAAAAGATGCTGTTCAGCATTATCAGACTGATAAAAGTGTGATTTACAACAATCAAACGACGGACCCATGATAACTAACAGAAACAGTCCCCATCACTTCCTCTATGACTCAACACTTCCACCATGACATCCCCAACACTTCCACCATGACATCCCAAACACTTCCACCATGACATCCCCAACACNTTTTGTTGCATTGAGATTTAATTTCTATTGATGCTATTTTTGAATACAATGCGCCTTTATACATAATATAAATCACTTCTCCTGTTCAGTTTGTGTACTTACATCCATTAAAATACGATTTTTCAAGTGTACGAATATTTATTTCCCCCCACTGTATAACTACTTGCATCACGCGTTACAATCAGAGCTCCTGCCTTACAAAAAGTATAAGAAGAAATTACAATAAACTTCACAGTAATACTACATAGGGGGGTAAGAAGTAAAGAAGTACACTGAATAAAGTGTAACCTAAAAAGTACATTCAAAATCCAACTTAAAAATTAAACTGATAAAAATAAAACTGTGCGATGCAGAATTTTTTTGGGCAAATTACGAGAGTAAAAACTAGTTACTTAATATTCAAGAGACTGACCAATTACTGTCCAACGATGTGCTCTATTGCCATCATTGAGCTGCACGAGCTCCCCAGGCAGTTGACTCATCTCGTCAGGATTGCTGCTCCTGATGCTAGCTAAAGTGTCGGCGCAGGACTCCCTCAACGACGAGTAGCACGACAGCAGATTGGCAAACACCGACGCAGACATCCCAACTGCCTGCGTGAGCAACAACGCAGAGATTAGTACATACAACCTATTTTATGTATTATTGTTCTTTAATCCTTTTAAAACGTATTTGAGAAGTTCCAATAGATATGAGCAATGCTTTAGTGAAGTGATTTTAAGGGGGGCGTCTATCCTCCAGAAAAACTTCCACATTTACCAACGGATCTTTCTGAAACTTCGCACATATGTGTAAAACCGAAATACAAGCAGATTTTGTTCGTGGGATATTTTCGGAAAATTAATAGAAAACGTGAAATTCATAGAACACGGACAAAAAGGGGGTACATTAAAAATCTATCTCCTCCTACAGTTTTCAAGCTACAGCATTGAAAGATATACCATTCGATTCGTAAAGACCATACTAATCGAGTAACGAAGCCCGATTTTTTATTTTTGCCTTAGTTTTTTTTACACACATTTTTCCGTCTTCTTCTCATTTTCTTCGGATTTTCCCCCCTTCCCCCACATTTTAAATCCAAACTATACACAAATCTAAAAAAGGGCTTCGTTGCTCAATAGGTATATGGTCTTTACGAATGGAATGGTATATATCTCATCGCTGTAGCTTCAAAACTCTAGGAGGAGATAGGTTTGCCGTGACAATAAGTGTGAATGTTCAGGAGAGCGCAACAAAGTCCCGGGCGCATCGCAATAGGCACTCAACGTAGCAAGGATACAAAACTAAACGTTACTGGAGCTTGATTCCAGTCAAGGATGGTGGGAGCGACTGCTTGCACACCTCCTCATACGACGCCAGGCGGGTAACTAAGGTGCAGCTCAAGCAGACACTCTATTTAAAGTGCTCGCAAAGAATTTCCTCCTATTCTATTTGTTAAAGAACTCCCCCACCCCATTCCCTTTCATGATCTGTCGTGAACACACAAATCAACGTACAGAGATGGTAATGGTGCCGTTGGATAGGGCAGAATGTCAGCTTTAAGATGAGACTAAAAACCGAAAAAGCCAAATCCGAAAACTTTAGGGTAGACGCCCCCCTTAAATCAACGAACAACCTGCCCTCTAGCAATTTTCCACATGCAGACATGACCGGCAAGAAACTGCTCTTAAATCAGAAAAATTTCAGCGCCACGTCGCGTAGAACAAAATTTGTGCATTTATTGCTATAACACATAAATGCATAATTGATATCTTCAGTGTTTTGCGTTAATGGCTGTATTTATAATTGGAATGAGATGGGTGCGAAATTTGTCGCATTCCTGTATACAGTAAGTAAGTCGTTGCACGGGTTGAGATCGTCTGTATGAGGTTTGCACTGGTATAGTGCATGAGCCCATAAAATCAAGGCAACTGGCTAAAGAACGTCCACATTTTGTTATTTAGTGTTACTTGGCAGATTGGTTATCTAGCATTATTCATACTGTGAATCTATACGTCGAACGAACATTAAACTGGCTTTCGAGCACTTCTCATTCTCAAATTTGCTAACCAAGAACACACATTTTTGAAAACAATTCTTTAGCCTTAAAAAAACATTGTTAAACCCCGCAACCGATCAAAAATGAGCAAATGTTGAGTAACTTTACATGACATTGTCGAGGGAAGCCGTTCCTGCAGAAGGTGTGGAGCAAGAAGCTGGCGGCGTTCGCCTCGAGGTTGTGCGGAGGCAGAGCCTGGGCCACCGCGTAGCCGCTGCAGGCGTCCAGCAGCGTCACGAGATGGTCGCTGCCTTGCAACGACCGACGTAGTGGTCCATGGATGCGCACTTCTATCTGGTATTAAAATCACATTCAAGAGTTATATAATATTATATTAGTCGTTTTATTTAACTCGTGTATTTAATTAATATGGTATTAGCAGCGTTGATTGAAATTGAAAAAAAATAAGTATGAGTATTTTTTTATTTCACTTTTTTACTTCATACTTTACTTAATCACTTCATAATTTAATCACTTTATAATTTTGTACTTTAAAATATTATTGCTTGAGAATCACCTTCTGCCAGACATCTTGCAGGTCCATCACAGTTTGCTCTTCCACGCAGAGGTCGGCGCTGGCGCTCTGAATATTGGGCTCCTCTTGGCATTTGGTGCAGGCCTTCACGTAGCTGTCAGCACAGTTTATTGTATTTAAAAACAAGTGATGAAGTAGAAGTAGTTAGAATATGTGGTAAAATACTGGTTATAATTGCATTCCAGTAGCTGGCATTACCATACCAGATATATTGTTATACTGGCAGACGATCCGGGATCAATTGTTCGAGATCAAGAGAATGCATATTTTCACTTCCTGATCCCTGGTGGTATAAGTGGTAACGAATGGTATCCGTGCTACCAGGCGGGACGATGTCCATAACACCGCCTATGATGCCTAGTAGAATTATGTTGCCGACCGGGGCCACAGTGAAGCTAAAATCCTGTCCTCCCGTTTCCCCGTCCTAAAATCTCGACGGGATATACGGGAGGACGGGACTGAATGAATGAAATTTTTATTTAAATTACATATAAAATTTCGAAGATTTAATCTTCGAAATTTAATATAATTTTCTTTTTTTTTTTAAATATAAATTAGAGAACAAAATTTAAAAACACTTCTATTACTCCTCTCCTCTCTCTCATCTCTCTCAGTTTCGTGCAGCTATTTGATTCTATCAATAAAAATAAAATTTCAGGCCGAGGTGAGAACCCGACCCGCTAGGTAGTGGGGATACGCGCTCGAATATTTCCTTTGTTATACGCTGCTACGTCTCAAACTAGCAAATTTAATAACTTTCATATATATAAATACTAATATGTGATGATCGAGCATGAAATTCTCGAGTCGATATTTTTATACTCTGGAAATTTTAAAGTTCCACAAGATATTTGCTCAAAATTTCGTACTAGGATAGTGAAAACATGGCGCCTGGACTCGCCAGTAAGATAATGGAGACAAACTTCGCATATGTAGATAGAAGAAATATATACATTGTGGTTTAGTCAAAATACCTCTGATAATTTGATCAGTGAAGAAGTTTGGACGATGTTCCGAAAAACCGATGCACTGGGAATCAATTTTTACGAATCGATCATAAAGTAACATATCTGCTTCTTTAAATATATCGAGAAAGAAATGAGCGCCCATGAATGTGGAGCTAACACATGATCATATATTCATATTCACAGAATAAAGAGTTTGTAGAGCAGGATACCTGTTAACGTCTGTGTAGACGCTGCGCCAGTAGAACTTAGCGAATATCTTGCGATACATTTTGCGCGCTCCGTTGTGCACACCTGCGAACAAAGCAAAGTTTGCTGACAATTTTTAAGGAGAGACGATGTAATGATGTACACATTATGCATATATAGTTAGTTTCGTTGTGCCGAAAACAAATTGAACAAGTTGAAAAACGGTGACAATTCAAACATGATTAAATGCGAATTGCTCTACATATCCATTTGAATAAAAAGTATTGATGTTTAACTACCAGAAAATACAAAAAAAAACTTATGTTTTAAATTACAATGTTGACCCATTTTTCCGCGTTAGGACATGTTTGTTTTGCATTTTTGTTTCGAAGGCAGATCAGTCGCGTTATCATGTGGTTGATTTTGATCTCACTTTACACACAATGTTTCATACTCGACGCAGCACGAAGATATGCTAGCATCACTAGGGCAGTATGACGATGTTGGCATCACTATGTCTATCACTTGGTTCATTTTCGGATCAAATATCGCTAAAGCTTTTAGCTCTCATTTCATTTTCGCATTCGCACATCCGATTACAAGTGAGCGCGAGCGCGAGCAGACAAGTTGGCAACAACGGAGGAATCACAGCAACACTTTCCTACTGGCAAGGTTTAAATTTAATGAGGCAGTTTTCATAATTACTATACATCTCTGACTCACCATCAGGATCTATATGTGCTTCACGGACCATCTTGACTTGCTGGTCCCGACGCGTCACCACACACTTGGGGTTGTTGCGGTTGTAGCCCAGGCCGTCGCCTGTTGCAATTATCTGCACAACAAGAGCTAGAATTTGTCAGAGCGAATCTATCTTATCTTGAGTGTGTTAGTAATAAGAAGCAAATGCATGTTACTGGTTGAAGTACAATTTATTCACAGTCTTTCATCGACTATCCACGTAATTCTACTGCGATTCCAGTGCATTAAATCACAAGTCAAGCAGCGTCACGAGTCCGGAAAGGTCAATTGGCGCGTTTAGACAAGGAGACAAGGGCTCTACACAATTTTATCACAACAATTGGAGGGTATGAGGGTCAAAATGAAACACATTTACATTTAATATGAAAGTACAGAAACCAATTGAGCACATTCTAACTTGCAATTTTTCGAATGAAGAAAAGTGATAGGTATATAGATTTCGAGACTTGATATTCATCCTCTTGTAATTTCATTTTCAATTTCTCAAAAAAGAATTACACAGACTCCTCCTTAACGTCAGCAATCAAACTCTAAAAAAATATGAAATTTCTACACGGTAAAAAGTCCGATGCCGAAAATTGAGAGGGTAAATTTTTTATTCATTTTTCCTTTTACTCATTTGAAAGTAGACTTCAAATTCTATGACATGATCGGCTACATGGCTTCCCTAAAAAGTTGTGATTATTTTTACTCACGAAAAACATCGAAGCACGCTTCTTGATGATCTTCTTGAATGAATCCTCAACATTGCTAGGCAATTCTTTCCGGCTGAGGTACTGGAAGATTCCGTTGTAAAAGTCGACGTCTGGGTCGTCTGGGGAGAGGAAGGGCGCTAGGTCCCTGGCACGCCCCTGCTCCGTAGAACAAGCCTCCATTACGATAGATGCAGGAAGACATGAGAAATTTTCTAAGACATTCAATGGAAATCATACATTCAATTGAATTATTCTTACATCATTGCTCACTCAAAAGCTCGAAAAAAAAAAAACAATATTGATATAAATAATGATAATATGCAATGAAGATGTGAGCTCAATTCTAAGCCATGATCATAATCCTAATGTAATGGAAGATATGGAGGCTAATTTTATTCTAACTCATAATCCTAATGTAATGGAAGATATGGAGGCGGACCTGCGTGTCGTGAGAGCGTTGCAGTTCGTCCTCGCCGTAGACGCTCTGCGCGTCAGGCGGGCGCGGCGCGTCGGGCGGGGCGGAGGCTGAGCGACCGACGGCCGCCTCTTCTGGCCTGACTTGTACCAGCGTCTGGTGACGCGCATCGCAGCTCGTGACGGGCGAGGCTAGAGGAACTCGAATCTGTTGACATGAAAAAATGATCCTTAGGTTAGGAAATTATTACAATCATGTCAATACTTTGGTGTTAATTTTATACTCATCGTCAAAAAGATTAACTGAGGCAGAGAGACCCATTTTTACAACACTTCTCTTTAACTTCACTTCTTGTTTGTCTGTTTGTTGTCCTATCGATCTGAAATTTTGCACACTTGTGTAAAGTTGGCGGCAATGCATGAATCAAATGTCACAATAAATGATTTTAAGAATTAAAAAAAAAATTTTTAATATTAAAAAAATTGAAAAAATTATTTTGTCAGCTACAAATCTTAAAACTGATATTTGACACACTTTTACCTGTCTAATTGATCTGAAATTTTGCACACTTGTGTGAAGTCAGAGGCAATGCATGAATCAATTAATAGAATAAAAAATAATTTTGAAAAAAAATTTATATATTAAATAAATTGAAAAATTAATTTTTTTAATATTCGAAAATTAAATGAGAAATTCATTGTACATCTGTAAGATTGAAGACACTGGATTCTTTGGAAGTGTTGTCTTTAAAAAGTAATTTTTAAACGTATATTATTCTCCAAGTAATTTACTCGTCGGACGTGTGTCTTACATATAAGGTTTATCGTCAAACCATATACAATTTTTTTTAAGCAATATAATCGTGGGACAGACAAATAATAATTGGCAAATGATTACGAACCGCAGTTGTGGCCAAATCACTCCTGATGATGACGGAAGTTGCGCCGTCCAGCTGGCCAGTTTTGGTGCAGGGATCATTTCGTTTTGGGAAGACAGAGCTGGAGGTGTGACCGAGGTTTTCATTTCCTGCACCGGCGTCTTCTGCTGAGCCACCAACGCATCTGAGACTCTCGCGATCATGCTGTTCCGAGCAAGACTGGAACGAGGGAGTCTCTTCTGCAATTAATTATAAACAGTTCGAGAGTTGAACTTCATTTTTCGTCTTAGGTTGAGCAATCTAAGCTGTATTTTTTTCTGACCTGCTATGATTATGAAGCAGAGAGAAGATAAATAAAAACTTCAAAATTGTACTGATTTGGAGCTGGAACGGTGAACTCTGGATTGTGTATAGAAAATGTTATTGAGTAGGAAAGCATTGAAATAGCATGATATTCACATGTGTTGAATGAGAATTTACTGAAAAATTAGTCGAGTTTACTAAGAATGATTCATTTTGAGTCTTTAGAATCGGTTTCAGGGGATAAAGCTTGTTTGAGCCAGCAGCTGAAGGACAAGAAAATGCAGAAGTAAGAAATGGGAGCGCATAGCGCATAATTTTTAATGTCTTGACAGCAAATCTGAAAATATTTTTATTGAAGAATCATATGAATTTGATTCATTTGATTTGCACATACAAGTTGTATTCTATTAATATATTCACTTATTTATATAAGTAACAAAAAAAAAACAGAACAAAATAAACAGCGGAGAAGAAGCGTAATAAATGGCGCAGCACGTCAACATATTTCGTTCCGTGTAGCCCTCGCAACTTCTAGGAGACAATGCATCACTGTACCTCTGCCACTCAGCTGGAGACCCTTGCAGCAGGACGTCTCGACACTTTTACGGCCGGTCTCCCTAATAGCTACGTTCGATACACGTATATGAAACACAAATTAAACATCAATCAACACGTAACTCTAAAAAGTACTGAAAACTATTTGAGCGACAAGTGGGTATTATTGCAGATTAACTACATCCAAAAAAAAGGGTGTTTTTTTTTTTTAATTATATGTTTTTTGGGGTGTAGATTACGAATCTGAAATCCATTTTTGGCGGTCGGCATCGGAAAACCGATTTTTTTCGCGACTTACTAGTATTATTGCAAAAAATCGGTTTTCCGATGCCGACCGCCAAAAATGGATTTCAGATTCGTAATCTACACCCCAAAAAACATATAATTAAAAAAAACACCCTTTTTTTTGGATGTAGTTAATCTGCAATAATACCGACAAATGTTTTAGGCTTATTCAATCGGAAAATGGAAATACATATACGTATACAATTTTATTGGAAATTCTAAAATTCAATTACTATGTATTTGGGGAGCGGAATGTGTCAGCAGTGTTGCCACCGTCTTCCCAAATAAAAGTCCGAACTTTAATTTTACAATGAAATTGCACAAAACGTTATTTATCTGGGCTAACGTTGCAAATATCGTCTGGTTTTAGAAACGAAATTATATTGCATAGCCATCTATTCAGGTTGTCGTACAATGCTCACCTTCTTCCACCGACGCCATGATGGGCGAAAATAAGTATCTATCAAAACTGATACCGCAATAAACAAGCAAAAAACAAATCTCCAAAACGAAGGTTAAATTATTTTAACCTTAACAAGAGATAAAATATCTATACAATTTTATGCATAAATAAGTCGCATGAGCGCAAAAACAACACAGAATTACACGTCACAAATGCCATACCACCTCAAAGTTCAGCCATTGACGGCTGTTTTTCACCTTACGTTTGGCAGCGGTTGCAACTTCGTATTAAAAAAGTCATTTTACAATGTGTCTTATGATCGCTGATCAATTTCTTAAAAAATTATATAATATTATTCTTTATTTTATCGTTGATATGATATGAGTCTCTACTCTCAATGATGAGAAGACATCAATTTACGGCAAGACGCTATTCTTAACGACAAAATCCGTTCAACTCCCTAGATCCAGCAGCTTAACTCTACTCATTGAATTAAATATATACAGTTTCATAATTAAGTTTTCCATTACAGTATTTGAGTATAATATATCTTATTCAAGACCATTCATTCACCAATTTTTCATTGTTTTTACCGCATGTCGATTTCAAGCTAACCAAATTTAAAAGTCGTATGAGCTAAATTAAATACCGTGGACACAGCACCAATTGAATGATTTAAGTTCACCTGAGAGGCTGAAGCTAGGAAATTAATTGATTATCCTAGCAAAACAATTTTTCAATGTAATCTTTACAATGCATCGCTGTCTAAATTCGCTCCTGGAAATAATATTCCCATTTTTCGAAAATACACCATTCGCAGATTACTTCATACATGACACTGGCTGAGTTTTTTCAATGGTTTTCCTAAGTGAACACCTCCAGAACTATTCCATCTAAAATTATTTTTCAAATCAACGACTTTCAAAGTTTCTGCAATAGAAATACCATTCTTCGTAATTTTTAATGTCTTGACAGCAAATCTGAAGATATTTTTATTGAAGAATAATTTCAATTTGATTCTTGTTGATAGGGATCATAATAATGATTATGATTTTTGACAGAGATCAGGCTGGTGGGCGCTTTTGTCGCCACAAGTCTTTACCCCAATTATAAAAAAAAAATGATTATGATCCCTATCACGCACGGCATTACTCGTTTACCGACAGGTCCGACACCTCTAAAACCCTGCTAGATGTCTCACGACTTCGCACAAGTGCTCAGAGTTCTCAGTGACTCAATGTTTAGTACCAAACAACTTTTGCTTAATACGAGTAAACGGCGAATTAAATTGCGAAACCTTCAGACCAGGAAGGTATTTACATCAGTTGAATTAAATAGATCCAACTTGAAGCAGTCAGGCTTTGCTAACTTGAGTATAAAGTTGTGTTTTCATTCGTGCAATATTCTGAGGTCGCACACTGTCATAAGGTTAACGTTCCTACTTTCGCTCGAGTTCCAGTAAAGAGAGAAGCTAAAGACTAATTTTGCACATCAATGGAGGAGCCCAACAAAACTGACGGGACTCCCATGCCTGATCAACTGCTGGAACTGCGGTGTGTGTTATCAGGTATGCAGAATCTACCCTGCACTGATTAATTCAATGATAAACATTGCGGTGATAATCTATATATAAATTTTTATAAATTATTCAAGATTTTGACGAGGACCAGTGAAGCTCTGGACGCTGTCAACTGTAATTGAATTACAAACGTAGTTTGGACGTTGCTTAACATTTAATTTAAATTCAACGAAAATGTACAAAATTAACTTAATGGCATAGTGAGCCACGTGGCATTATTACGCCATTAACACCATAATAATCTCACCGAATAAATATTGCTACCATCCCAACATTTGTAGTAACAAATTAAGAAAGCGTTCCAGAAAAGGGAGTCAAGAGAAAACGCTTATACTTGACCATGCCGGGAACTATTAACAACATTTAATGCGTCAGCAACTGTAGTCTAGAACTAGGTGGCATAGCGTCAGGTTAACAAGTGGTGCAGTAGCAAGGATCTTGAAACTTAAACGACTCGATCTCAGCAGCTACGCTATGACTCAACACGACAGGCGCCAATAAAAATTGCCTAGCCGAGTGTGATACTCAGACTTACTGCTGAGAAAATTCACAATATGTATGGAAAGGAACTTCAAAATTGAACATAGATTTCAATTAGCACTGGTATCCAAATTGTTAGCGTAGGTGGGTTTCAGATCCTCAGATCATTACAGCACCTGCTTTCCATTAAGAGATGCGTGACATAATCATCCAGCAATGCACGCAACTCACTGCAATATACGTAATATTAAATTTCTGTTAGTATCGTGTCTTGAGGAATAAATAACATATATGTTGATATTTTGAAGCGTATGGCGCCGCCAGTGAAGCAACACTTTACTCCAATAGCTGGCGACGTTTTGGACAAATTCAAGGAATTCGAAACATATTAATAAATATTTTATTTCGTGTAAAGCAAAGAGCCGCATTACATTTTTTGTACATGGGGGAATATGAGATATGCCTATTAGAAGCTGGAATTAACGAGACAACTCATGTTAATTCAACGCAAAGAAGACAATCTATAGCATTGAGGCTAGTAATTTCACAGAATTACTGAAACATCCATAAATGAATCATTTTACAACCATCAAGAACTGGGAGAGTTTGAATTTATGCAATGGAAGCTTCCGAAGTCATTTCTCCAACTATTGATTCATTTTACGGCAGGGAACACGTCCACATGTCATCAGGATAACAGGGAAGCAAAACAAGCTCAAGCCTCAGCGGCCTTGACGAGCTCCTCGGCGACCTCGACGGCGATGAGCGCCTCAGCCTTGGCCTCCTCGGAGGCGGCGGCCGCCACGGCGCCCTGACTCTTGCTGAGCACCTCCCGCGCCGCCGCCACGTCCAGCTCTGCCACGCCCACGGCCTCCTCCGCCAGCAGCTGTACTGCACAGCCATACAAGACTATACCTATGCAGAACTATACAGCCATACAAGACTATACCTATACATAACTATACAGCCATACAAGACTATACCTATACATAACTATACAGCCATACAAGACTATACAGCTCCCGCGCCGCCGTCACGTCCAGGTCTGCCACGTCCACGGCCTCCTCCGCCAGCAGCTGTACTGCACAGCCATACAAGAGTTTAGTCATACAGAACTATACAGCCATACAGAACTGCACAGCCATACATAGGTAACTGTACAGCCCTACATAACTGCACAGCCATACATAGGTAACTGTACAGCCCTACATAACTGCACAGCCATACATAGGTAACTGTACAGCCCTACATAACTACACAGCCATACAGAACCAACTCCACCAAAAAGATGTCTGGTAGTCACATTCACCATGCCAAGCATTAGTCTCTTCATTAGTCATTTAATCAGTGGGTATTATCAGAACAAAAATGGAAAGATTTTATCTTTATTAGATAGTACAATTCATATTTAGACACAAATTAAACTGATAATCATCATTCATTTGATAATTCACATCTCAGTGAAACAGAAACAAGAAAACAACAATTCAGAATAACAAAAGTAAACAACAATTCAGATTTACATAAGTTTCATTAACCTTCTTTCTAGAATTTGAACTGCAACAGCAAATTGCAATACCTGATGAGTCTTCATTGATGGTAACAATGCCGGAGCTAACAAATATTTTCTTAGCTGATCCCGACTGCTCATAAACAGTGACAACTCCAGGCTTGAGGACGGCAAGGGAAGGCACGTGTGCAGGCAGGATACCAAAGCTCCCGGAGAAAGATGGAACATCGACTTGCTTTACGTCAGCTTGGTTATAAAATACCTGGAAATAAGGCATGGGCAAACCATTACATTGGGCCACGGTTTATTAATAGCAACTTAAGAGTTAAGAGTTAATAGCAACTACTTATTAACTCTACATTTGGTCAATCCACAATGTTAATTCACATCTAGACAGAAAAATATTCAGTATTAAAATAATGCATTGGGCCTCATTAAATGTGGCACTGTCATATAGCAAAATATACTTTTTTCTTCATACTTCTTAACAAGTAAATGTTTAACATTGAAATTTGTTATAAAACATGAGCATATAACTAATGCATCAGTGCACACTGCTTATGCTCAAAAAGTTTTTAGCTTGGATAGCTCATTGATTTCAATGAGCAAGTAACATTGTGTAAAATAAAGAGAAGTTGATATTGAATATTGAAGAAGCTCCTGAATGGAAGTTAGAGCGAATATCAGTTGAAAAACTATGTTGAACAAGCATTACCAATTAAGAACTAGTATTTCTTAACAAAATAGGGATGAGTTAAGAAACAATGACTAAAAATTTTGAGAGAGAACCACAAAAGTTATTCTAACATTAGTATGAAGAACATGGTGTATGGTATATTGGATATTTATTTCATTTCACATCATAATTATATGTTCTGACTGACTACGGTATACGTGGAACATGTTATAGAACTTAGTAATATTCAAAACACCATTTATTCATTTTTTATGATAAAATTTGAGGTGTTATTAAAAGATTGGCACAAACTAAACAATTAGCAAAAATGTTTGCATCAAGACCTAATTTTGCAAGCTTGGAGCACCATGAATTTGCAGTGCTTGACCAAAGGACCAGCAACAGACACAATGCATTGAAAAGAATCTGCAGATATGTTGTCATTTTTTATGGCTAATAGTTCCATGTCTTCAATTTTTAGTAGTTTTGAAAACATGAATATGTAATCACATGAAGACCTCATTTGAAAACATGAGTAAATATTTCAAAAATTTATACATTAAGACCTAAAGAATTGTCATGGCAATGGTAACATGGCAAAATAGATTTAATGCAAATTTTAACTACACATTAAAAAGCTCACTAAAAATGCTTGAACAGCAGAAAAGATAAATGTTAGATAAGCCAAATGTTATTTACACTTCATCCCATTACATTCATGCACATGCATAATAAAAAATTTGAAAGATCCATTTTCATTTGGATTCATGATTAACACCAAGCCACAGTATAGAAGCTATCAATTCATATAGATAGAATCTTTTTCTATTGCAATGAAGTTGAATAAGAATTTGCAATAAAAATTAAGAGTGCCCTATATTATATTGGTTTCAAATCTTGACCATGACAACATTTTCACCAACAGCCAATTGTCATTATTCATTTAATTCATTATTATGATCATCAAGGCATGCATAAAAACACAAGTGGCTAAAGCTACCTTTAGTTTTTAACTAGTTTCTTCCCTAATGGCAGTGTTATTGACAAAATCTTTGCATTAATAAAAGACTTCAAGGTTGCCAGCAAGCAATATTCCCAAATGAACACACAAAGGAATCAAGCGCAATGACCTGTTTCAGATTGGAGGATAAAATCTGTTGAACAAACTTAATTTAAATACACAAGAAATTGCATTGACTTTCCATGGTTCCCTTAAACATAACCAACATTGAACATTTTAATTTTAACATAAGAAGACCTATACACAAATCAAGTGCTTGGAATGTAAATTTTGCTCCCCTAAGCAGCTCAAGATTGATCATCTTTAATATGAAGGCCATGATAATAAGCACAGAAATGAACTTTCACATAGTGAGCAAGTCAATTTAAAAATTTTATTTTTGTACTAACTTGATTTTGAGAAGCAAATGTGAAGGCCATAGCAAGATCTGCATAATTCCGTCTGGACATCATGCGGGGCAGCTGATGGACCAAACGTTGAGCCGTAGATCGGACAAACATTTTGCAATATCTGTAAAACAACGTCATTGTTACTGATAGTTATTCACAATTTGTCATTAAATTTGCCTTAAAATTATTCAATGCAGTCTATTTTGTTATTTTGTTGAGAATTGTTCTTTTGTAATTGATGTAATGTGAAGCTTTATGAAACATCATTAACCAAACAATTAAATAGGCTTACAATGTTTCATTATTTGCATACAAGTTGTCTAGAATGAGTGGCAAGTTGTTAAGAGACTTCAGTTGCAAGCATCAACAGAAATGTTAAGAAATTCCAGAATATTTTGTTCTGTACATTTAATTTAGCAGCTAAAGTACCAATTTTGTAGACCAGCTCGAGCCAAAATGTTGCAAATGCACTGTTTAATATTGCATCTAGACATTTTTTGATTGCAGAATCCTTCACTGCAAACAATCAAGGTTGCAATCAGCTTAAATTATTTCTCAGAATTGACATCAAGCCTACAAATATTATATGCTAAGTAAAATTTAGAAGATATGTTGATGACAGAAAACAGATTAGGTAACTCTATCATTAGATGTTTCAAAAATGTACTTTCTAAATGCAGAGGATTAGGGAAAGAAATTTTGTATATTATTCTTTTTGAACATCAAATACTTCTAAGTTAAGAGCACTATAATAAGGCTAGCAAAAGGTACCTATGTAGAGGTTTTCCAACTGACAAGATTTCACACAAAAGTTAAGTCTTGACTTAAACCTTGAACATTCTTTAAATTGATAAGTTGAGAAGTAGTGTGAAGTACTAATGAATAAAAGAACATTAAAAGAACCAAACGAGGTGAGCAAAATGATGAATGAGTCACATTGTTTGTGGGATGTAAGGCTACTTAGAAGCATGGCCTCTTCTCCCATTGATTTTGTAAGCAGTGAATGTTTTATAAGTATTCAAAAGTTGATTTATTCAACTAAAACCACTTTTTCTATTCCTTCCAGTTCAGGTCACACATTCAGTTTAGGTAATGTAACAACCTAACTGCATGAGATACAAGTTGTTATTAAAACCAGTATTTACATTTGATTGTTCTTTTTCCAGCCTCAGTAATGAGATTGTTTTGGCTATTTTTACCACTAACTAGTTATTTAATAAAGATAGTGAGTTAGTCCCATCTGCTATGAATTGACAGTTAAAAGATGTAAGCATAACCGGAAATAATAATTTTAATGGGAATGAATGAACTTGTGCACCAAGATCCCTTGAAATTCACACTTGTACTTAACATTTCAGAATATCAGAAAAAAAGACAATAACAGGGTGCATACTGGTATTTAGAAAAAAAATTCCATGACATTTCCATGACCATCAATATACCATCAAATGGGGTAATAAGGGACGTTTTTGAGCATTTTTTGTTAACTTCTTACCATGAAACATTTCATAAGCAAGTTTAGACTTGTTTTATAGTTCTTTGCAAGGGCTATCAAATGGCATGTTCAAAAAAATTCCATATACTGTTTGTAAAGTGCCAGATGCAAAATAAAACCGTCCCAAATTGCCCCTGGAAACGGGGTAATCCAGGACACTTGAAATAAAACTCAATTTTAAAATGTTTGAAGCATGCAGAGTGTACTCATCCACTACCAGAGGTGGGCAGTAGTGCGCTACATGTAGCAGCCGCTACATTTAAGCAATTGTAGCGGTAGTGCCCGCTACATAGTTAAGTAGCGATACAAGGTTTTGCCGCTACAGCGCTACCGCTACATTTATAGATAAAGCCTTTAGATTTTACTTGATAGTATTAAATATTATTTAAAAACCAGAATGATACATTCATAATATAAATTACAGAATAAAACTGTATGAAAGATTTCAGTGTAATGTTGTCAACCTCAGCCTGTTGCTAGTGTCAACATGTTAGTTGTTACTTGTTAATTTGTTACCAGTTGCCACTTACAGGTACGGTATTTTTTCATGTTTCAGTTTGCTTACAGTTATTTTTAGTTATTTTTATGTTTCACTTTCCCTACATGGATGTCTACTTTAAGCTACCAATCTCAAAAGAATCCACATATATATATATACAAATAAAAGACTGATTTTTATATGAATATGTAGATAATTTTTGAGATTGGTAGATTAAAGTAGACATCCATGTAGGGAAGGTAAAACATAAAAATAACTAACTTTTATTTACTGTATCTAACCCGGACAAGTTTGGTTAGGTTAATTGCAATAAGGTAGCATTGATATGTTTTGAAAATGTTTTATTACCATTAAATGTTTATGAGTATATCCCAATAGCAGAAAAATAAATATTTAGAGATTTCCAATAATTTTGGCCATTGTAGTGGCTAATATAGCAGCGCTACATTTTACTGTAGCGGTAGCGCTTGCTACAATTTAGTGGGTGTAGCGGTAGCGCCCGCTACATTTAGAGCATGTAGTGGTAGCGGTAGTGCCGCTACATTTCAAAGCAGGGTTGGCGATTTTTTTTATTTAAAAAAAAAAAAAAAATCAAAAATCAAAGATTTTCTTGATTTTTTTTATTTTTTTTTTATTTTTTCAGCTTTCTTGTATTTTTGAGGTGTTATTTTTTATGTTGCAATTAGCCCACTAACAAACTACAGTATATGGATCATAATGGATGGCTAAAAAGGGCACTTATTGCCTTCAATAATGGCCAACAGGCCAAGGTGGTGTTTACCACTTTGGGATTTTTGGGTAAACAATTATTGACAAGTCTATTCATTAGCTTTGTAAAGTTTGTATGGAGCATAGGAAATGAGCTAAATATTGACCATTTAACTGGCTTCAATATACAAAAACACTTCAGGAATGCAGATCTCCTAAACATTGAAGAGTCACATAACAGATAGGTAGCTGATAGCACAGTGCACAGCACATATGTAACTAGAAGAGTTCTACTACAATGCATCAAAACCTGGAGTTATTTAACCAAAAAATAAAAAAAATTGGAGGGGGTACTCTGACAGGCTTTAAATAATAGCTTTTTTTCATGGGTCACATTTTTAATTTTTTAACCTATTAGATATGCAAACTTTTAAAATCTTTCTATTGTGTTATGTAGCCTCAGTATTTAGGCCTTTAATGCCCATTGACAAAATTTTTCTGTCAAATAGTCTTTGACTTTTGGGGTTTTTTGTTAAAAAACAAAAAGTGGTCTAAGTTACCCCGCCAGTCTAAGTTACCCCATTTTACGGTACTGTATTATTAATGTGATATTACTGTATCCATAAACATGCCATTGAGCATTTACAATGACCTTGTCCACTGCAAGCTTCATATCAGCAGACGCATAGCATTTCTTCTGTATCTGTAAGCTTGTTCTGTATCTAAGCGTGTCCCACATTTTGTAAAAATGTTTTAGCAGCTCAAAAAATCAAACATTTACTATCTCTAAAAAATTGATGAAAAAAAGTAAGTGTGAAAAGTGCAATTTTGGAAAAGTACCTCTGCTAAGGTCTGGAGCAAAAAAAATATTCGCCATATTAAAAAATTTTACTTACATAAAAGTTGCACCCAGGTGTCGCTTGAAAATGTAATTGATGGAATTTGCCTATCTCATTCCCCCCCCCCCTAAAATGGCAGCCATTTCTGTGTGACGGGGTAAAAAGGGAGACCCCCCTGGAGTAATTAGGGACACCCTTAAAAATGCATTTACAGTAGAACCTCAGTTAGCAAAGGCTCCAATTAATACAAAAATTTATTAACAACAAAGAATTTTTATTACATTTACCTCGCTCAGCAAAAAAAAATCACTCATAAAAAAATTAGTGCGTCATTGGTCGTCATGAAATTGTTGATGCTATATATGGAATTGTGCACCAGGCTTCATAGAATGAAAAGTAATTGACCTAAACTATGATTTATTTCTCCAAAACATATGATGGTTGTCACTAAAACATTATTTTCTGTTTCAGGTATGTTTTTCATGATCTTTTTTGTTATAGTGAAATCACTTGACTCGATTAAAATTGTGCAAAATTACAAACCATCCTGTAAGCTTACAGATACAGAAGAAATGCTACATGGCTGCTGATATTAAGCTTGCAGTTGACAAGGTCGTTGTCAATGCTCAATGGCAGGTCCATGGATACAGTAATATCACATTAATAATATGGTAATTAATGAATATGGTAATATCATATCAAGAAAGGAAAAACCAGTAAAAATTACAGAAAATATAATTTATTTTACATCTACATCATCTACAATGAAAGAGGAGGACTTCAGAGTACTGTTAGTAATGGATGAGTACACTCTGCATGCTTTAAACATTTTAAAATTAACTTTTATTGCAAGTGTCCCGGATTACCCTGTTCCCAAGGGTAAATTGGGACGGTTTTATTTTGCGTCTGGCACCTTATGAATAGCACATGGAATTTTTTCAAGATGCCATTCAATAGCCTTTGCAAAGAGCTATAAAATGAGCCTAAACATGTCTCTGAAATTTTTCATGGTAAGAAGTTATTAACAAAAAACGCTCAAAACCGTCTCTTTTTACCCTGTTTGATGGTTTTTGAGGGCGTCCCTTATTACCCCAGGGGGTGTCCCTTATTAACTTGTTGCGCGGAAATGGCTGCCATTTTTTGGGAATGAGATAAGCAAATTTTGACAATCGCGTTTTCAAGCCAACGCCTGTGTGTAACTTTTATCTAAGTAAAATTTTGTAATACCGGTACGCCGAATATATTTTTTTCTCCAGACTATAGTAGAGGTACTTTTCCAAAATCGCACTTTTCACACTTTTTTCAGCAATTTTTTAGAGATAGTAAATGTATGATTTCTTAACTAGCTTTATACATAATAGATAGTAAAAATGCTCAAGTTTACACCACTATTTTTAGTTTTGCAATATTTTGATTAGTTTAGCTACAACAACATTTCTATGATATATGGGACGCACATCCGATTTATCCCACCCGTCCCTTATTAACCCGTTTGACAGCAATAAGTCCACAAGCATCAAATTTGAGTCACAACTTGGTGCAACAATGCATATTTTTATACTACCTAACCAGTTTCATGCAATTTGTACACTTAAAAGCTGTAATGCAATTACTGTGTTTCTCTACCAACTGAAATTATTTCAGCTTCTATTTCAAATTTTAATAACTTAAACATATATTCATCAACAACCACCGTCAAATGCAGTAATAAGGGATGGGCGGGGTAAATTGGGATTTGGGAAAGTCCTCTGACATGGTTTAAAAATATTATATCAGCAAAACTAATTGAAATATTGCAAAACTAAAAATAGTGGCATAAACTTCAACATTTTTCGTATCTATGTAGCATAAAGGAAGTTAAGAAATAATACATTTAATACCTGTAACTCTAAAAAATCCCTGAAAAAAAACATTGAAAATTGATATATTAAGAAAGTACTTCTACCAAGGTCTGTAGTGAAAAAATATTTGCCATACCATCAAATGGGTTAATAAGGGATAGTTTTGAGAGTTTTTTGTTAACTTCTTACCATGAAACATTTCATGAATAAGTTTGGGCTCATTTTATAGCCCTTTGCAAGGGCTATCCGCTATCGTATGGAATCTTCCAAAAAAATTTCATATGCTATTTGTAAGGTGCCAGACGCAAAATAAAAGCATCCTAAATTACCCCTGTGAATGGGTAATCCAGGAGACTTGAAATAAAACTTAAATTTAAAACTTTTAAAGCATGCAGAGTGTACTTATCCATTACTAACACTAACAGTACTCTAAAGTCCTCTTCTTCCTTTGTCTTTGTAGATGATGTAGATGTAGAATAAATGACATTTTCTATGATTTTCACTTGTTTTTCCTCTATTGATATGATATTACCAATTTACCATATCCATATATTACCATATTATTGATGCGATATTACCATATCCAATAACACGCCTTTGAGCATTTACAATGACCTTGTCCACTGCAAGCTTCTAATTGGCAGCCGTATAGGCACTTTTCTGTATCAAATGTGTCATACAGTCAGATTGTACAGTCAGTGTATGTGTGTACAGTCACACAGTGTGAGTGTAGTGTGTACATTGCTGTACAGTCAGATCATACAGCAAAACTAACATTTGGCTTCACTCAAGTGACAACTGAATTTGTGATAATGCAGTCTGACTGCTCTGTCATGACCGCAACTGTGATCTTGAAGGAAACACTTTGGGTTGACTTGTTGTTAATATGTTCTGCAGGATACTTTGGCAGGAGCATTGAAGTAATGCAGATTGTGGAAGTTGAAAATTTCATGAAACAACATGTTTGCAAAGTGCAAACCACAATTTTTTTGATCAAACAAAAATACATGACATTAGAGCTGCAAGATTTCATACCTACTGAAATTATATGATATTAGAGTCACAATATTTCAGAAAAAATAGGACTTTTCCTGACCTGCATTGTCCAATATTCCAAAGTCAAATTTGGCCATAGGGTAAACACGGTATATTCCAACACTTTAAGGACATGGCACAAAAATGAATGGCTATAAAAAAATCATCATTCGTGTAACTTGAGTTCTGTTTGCTTTAAGTCACTCTCCAAACACCACACTACGCGCCAGCAACAATGAAACATCACAAAATGTTGCCATATTATTCATAAGCCTTTAGAATACAAACCTACCAAATCCATAGATATTCCGCCACAGTGCGACACTGTGTGTGACTAAATTTGGCATTTTGTGAGACTAATTCCGGCCGCGCTTCAAACTCTACTAATTCGTAATTCCGACACTCTTGTGTCAAAATTCCAATTGCTGTGTGAGCTGTATTGGAATATGACACAGTTTGGAATTAGAAAACTATTGAATATTGAACACTACTTATTTAGGCTTTTAATTAAGAGCTACTAGGGTAAACATGGTATATTCCAACATCGTGGGTAATTCCAACACTTCTCTAGTTTTTCCTTTATATTAAGCTTTATCTTAGTTCCATGCATTTGTTGATGGTTGAAATAGTGATGTCATACCTTTGCCTGTCAAACTATTGCCAAAACACTAGGTCTGGGCCATCTGGCGGGAAAATGTTGAGATCCAAAGAGACAGTGCATGCCACCCAGTGGGATCATCGAAAAATGTGTCAAAGTTGATAGTTGATCTTGCTCTACCAAATAGTAATAAACTGTTTGTGTAGAAAGAATATTATGGTATGAAATTTTTAAATAAGTCTGTGAATATATTAGGAATCCTTTAAGTATACTTGTATAGTTGTATTTGCTGATTTGAGTGATTTCAAGTGGTAAATAAATTAATAGATGATTAAGTTAGGAAACGGATTTAGACACATAAAAACTAATTCCGACACAACTTGAATTGGACACACACAGCTCGTTCCAAGCTGTGTGCAAAAATTAAAATTTTCTTAATTAAAAGCTTAATAGCTCTTAATTAAAAGCCTAATTAAATAGTGTTCAATATTCAATAGTGTTCTAATTGCAAGCTGTCGTATTCCAATACAGCTCACACAGCAATCGGAATTTGAACACAAGAGTGTCGGCATTACAAATTAGTAGAGTTTGAAGCGCAGCCAGAATTAGTCTTACCAAATGCCAAACTTAGAAACACACAGTGTCGGAATATATGGATTTGGTAGGTTTGCATTCTAAAGGCTTTTAAATAAATATGGCAACATTTGTGACGTTTCATTGTTGCTGGCGCATAGTGCGGTGTTTTTAAAGTGACGTAAAGCAAACAGAACTTGAGTTGCGCATACGGTGTATTTTCTTATAGCCATTCATATTTTGCTACGTCCTTAAAGTGTCAGACATAGTGACAATCAGTTCATTTTTAATTTCTTCATTTACTCAAAATTTAAACCAATTTCTTAAGTATGATAATGCTGGTATCCAGGATACTTTACTGGTACTGGTCTACTTATAGCCATAGGACTCAAAAATGAACTTGGAGAGTCTAAAAAACTCTCTGCTTTGCCACTATGTTGAGAGTCACGTGAAGGCAACAGAACTTACGTAATGCATACGTTTTTTTAATAGTTTTTCATTTCTCGATGCGTCCTTAATCACTTTAATGTGTCGGAATATACCGCGTTTACCCTAACTCTCTGCTTTGCCACTATGCCCACAGGCCACAACATAGGATTTTCTTCAGAGTTTTATTTCCAAACACTAACAGTGGCAAAGAAGTGAGCCAGACTGATACCTAGTCCTAGGCTACCTGGTCAGGACTCAGGCTGGTCTGCTAGTGGCAGTGCTAGATATTTTTTTTTTACTCTTCTGTTTCGAGATTCAATTCCAATGACTTGCGTAGACCAGAATCACAGATAGCCTACAACATTATCTTCTTCTTACTTCAGTTACATGGCTATTGAGTTCAATTTTGAACCAGATTAGGGAATTAAAAATAAATTGTTTTTAGATCTTTCGTTTGACACACTTTCATTCCTTCGCAAGATCAAGAAGAAATCATCAAAGAAAATACATGTAAAATAGATCTAAGTATTCAAATCAAATATCTTAGATCCAGTAATATACACCATTTGCTTTACCGTTGGGTTATCGATGTTCAGATAGGTTTTAATGTTATAACGGATGATGTTAATATTGCTAATAAAATCAGCCCCAGTTCACTAGACGTCAACGATCACCGGCTGCTGTGTTGATGGTCACGTCTTTTATAAGAAATATCTGTGAAGGAAGGATAAATCTCTTGATACCATTCACTGATTGGACAAATGAACAAAATTAGCCTTTAAAATTGAAATTTTTATTCATTATGTTTTAAAGAGCAGAAAAAAGTGTTTTATGATGTGAAGAAGTTGTCCTGAAAATATTTTCTGTTGCCCGAAAAAACTTGTTTATGAAATAATTAAAAAATAACGGTTTCAGCGTTTATTGAGCCTTAGGCCTGTCGCCGATTCTAACCATCACAGAACATTCACAGCTTGTTGCGATCTCGAACTCGCAACACACTGCCCCGGTTTTGAGGTCTCGGACAAATTTACGGCCGGACCCGTGGCCGGTCTCGTGGCCGAAAGGTTTTCTTAGTGTTTTTATGGATTTTTCTAGTTTTTTTTTATGTTTTTAATGGAACCTGTTCCTAACTGGATCTAACCTGCGAGGTTTTCGTTGATTGGCTAGGTTTTTTTCTATGTTTTTAGTCCGGCGGCCGCGAGACCGGCCGCGGGTCCGGCCGTAAGTTTGTCCGAGACGTCCGGTTTTAGAATAGAAGTGTCGGCGTTGAAGAAATTTTGCTCTGCTTAATGAATGGCAGGACGAGCTCCGTAGGAAGCGCCTCTGCAGGGATAAGATAACAGCAGAGCGCGACGCTCACCTCGCCTTGAAGTACGCAGCCGATTAACCGGGGCGCATGCCGGAGGCCAGCTTTGCCAAACTTCCCACTTAGTTCATATTCCTTTCCATATTTAAGAACGCTAGAGTACATAACGGCCTATGAAGTCAAGTGCTCAAAGCCATAGCGCCGGATGTCCAAGCCACAAAATAAGTTGCCAAAGGTAAACATGGCCATCCTGCATCTGGCCAAACCTTCTCTGACCTAACCTCTTCAGGCCTAACCTATACGAGCTGCAACCTTTCTCCACCCAAAACAAACCTGAGCGGACCTAACCTCATTGGCTGCAAAAAATTAGATAGGCGGTCCAAAAGTGCTGGTAGAGCCAGTCATTGGCTGCAAGAAGGCTGTGAGCCGGGACAGCGTGAATAGGTTAGGCCAGAAGAGGTTAAACCGGAGTAGGTGCAGCCGGATGGGGAACTGCCTGCTTATGAGCGAGCATGCTTAAGCATTGACTGTAGACCTACGGCGCTATTATCTTTCGGCAGTGTGTTGCTTGTCTGGATTACGGAGTTCAAGCGTAGTCCGCGGCTTCTAGTTCTGAAGCTGAGTAAAGTTAATGCATGTTGAAACTAAGCGTTGGCTGCAGGGCTCATTTAAGAGTAAAATGTGTGGCCTACGGCTGCGCCCCCGCTTGACCGCCTGACCTCTTTGCTAAACTTCCCACTTAGTTCATATTCCTTTCCATATTTAAGAACGCTAGAGTACATAACGTCCTATGAAGTCAAGTGCTCAAAACCATTGCGCCGAATGGCTATCCTGCCAAGTTTCAAGGCATCTGCCAAGTTTCAAGGCAGTTACGCAAGTAGTTTGCGCGAGGTAAGCTGAAGTAGCTCGCATCCTGGAGCGCTGGACTATCTTGGGGTAGTTGCTACTGTGGGGGCTTCGTGTCCGACCACATTCAATAATTATTTAACTCCTATCAGTGGAAATTGAAGGCCAAGACAACTTTTATTATTTGCTAAAAACAGATGGAAACTTAAGGTGCGGCAAGATGAAGTTAGTCGGGACAAAATAAGCAAGACGTCAATTGATAATATGAATTTATTGGTTAAGCTCACATGACCGGCTCGATGTGATGATCCCGGAGGAATTGGAAGGCCAGGCCATTGATGAAGGTCGACGGGATACACGTGGTTGCGTGGTGAGACGTCGTGAACGTGACGTCGTCGTGGAGACGTTGCACAGGCAGAGATGATTGAGCGTTGCCGAGACACGAGAAGACGTTACCAGAAACACGTGGTGAAGTTGCGCAGGCACGTGATGTTGAGTTTATACGGGCACGAGATGGCGTCGTTGAAGGCACGTGATGTTACCGAGGTTGTCCTTACGCAGGCACGTAATTATGTTCCGAAGGCACGTTGAGATATTACCGGAAGCACGTGGAGATGTTGCTGGAGGCACGTGATGTTACCGGAGGCACGTGGGGATGTTATCGGAGGCACGTGGAGATGTTGCCGGAGGCACGTGGAGATGTTGCTGGAGGCACNACCGGAGGCACGTGGAGATGTTACCGGAGGCACGTGGAGATGTTACCGGAGGCACGTGGAGATGTTACCGGAGGCACGTTATCTTGAGTTTACCCGTTGCAGGGGCAGGGATGTTCGCCGATGTGGACACTGCGAAGTAGGGCTATGTTAATACACTGTTTACGACGCCATTTCACAAGTGAGCAATACATCGATCACGTGAGCTTCTACAGCATAATAAAATGTAATTACTCAAAACTTGCAATGTCTCTGAAATAACTTTACACTTGCATTTAACACACTGATTTTTTTTTATTCTAATGTAATGTTAGGAATATTAATATTAGTATGATAAACATAAAATTAGTTCTATGTAGCGAGATCCGCTACACTACCATCAATGATCACTCGCACAGATATGAGAACGACACCCAAGGCTTGCAAACTAAATAGCATTGCTTGTCGCTCAAGAACGTACCTTCCGCACTCAATGAGAAAGTGGCTGATATTATCCTCAACTTCTTCAATAGATGCATATGAAAGTGTAAGTCATGCCAAAACGATGAAGGTACGAGTGGACCCGGCATGACCTAGAGTCCTAGACGGAGACTAGTTTGTCGCGTTTATAAATAAATAACGAAATGTTCGAAAAGAAAGAAAACTGCTCGTCAACTCAGAGAATTTCCCGGAAAGTTAGGAACAGAACCGACGACCAGATTTAAACTGGACGCGTCCTGTGCAGTTGGCAGACGCTCCAGCCGTTTCCCGCCCCTATTTCATTATCATAATGTGCCATTACCGTGAAATTATATAGTTATACTTAAAATTATCGCAGGTAACCTCGAGCAGGAGCAGAGAATTCATTTTTGTGAGATTAGCTAGCCTGTGTCGCGTTAAATTAGAAAACTTGTGGGTGACTGCGACCGCCATTAGCAAACGTGAATCTAAAGCTCATTATGGGCCTGGCAGAATTCAAGTGTAAGAAATAGTGCCTGATTGTTCAACTGTATCAATTGCGGATATAATTTAATTAATTGGTCAATAAATTGGCTACCAATCTGTCCTATTCATCATACTTGCCTGACATGTTTTCACTCGTTTGAGTTTTGGAGCCTTCTTGATCAGGTCATTACTTAGTCATCTGCCAGTAAAGTAAACAATATTTTAGCAGCTTAAAATTCAAGAGTTTTTGTTAGACAGATCAAGTTTGAATAGCCACAACAGTGGGATTTGATTAAATAAGTTATTTTCCTAAATGGATCTGGGTGTGCTAGTGCTAGGATTTTACTGGGGTAGAATTCATTACTCTTTTGATTTGCTCACTACATTTTGTATCATGTATGACAACCTATTGTAATACCTGCAAGTATCGACAGATCAACAGAATAAATCCAGATTTCTAGTGCATTTTCAGATCCGGGAACTTAACGTAAGTAACTAATATTTTTTACTAGGGTGTAATTTTACATTTAAATGTAACGGCGCAACTGGAGGCCATTATTTGCTCAAGCCGATCTGAGGCCAGTGTAGCACCCAAGATTACTAATTAGAAGAGGTGGGCAGTAGCGCGCTAAATATAGCCGTAGCGGTAGCGGCGATACATATTTAAGTAGCGATATGTTTTGCCGCTACAGCGCTACCGCTACATTTATAGATAAAGCCTTTAGATTTTACTTAATAGTATTAAATATTATTTAAAAACCAAAATGATACATACATAATAAAAATTACAGAATAAAACTACGAAAGATTTCGGTGTAATGTTATCAACCTCAGCCTGTTACTCAGCCTGTTTACTTGTTAAGTTGTTACCAGTTACCACTTGTTCTTGTTCCGTGCCAGCTGCCACCACATGTCCACGACCACATCACGGACGTCAGCCACCCAACTTCAGTTTGCTTGCAGTAATTTTTACACAGTTATTTTTATGTTTCACCTTCCTTACTTGGATGTCTACTTTAATCTACCAATTTCAAAAATTATCCGCATATATATTCAAATAAAATACTGATTTTTTATGTATATGCATGTATGTATGACTTACGAGTAAATGTTACAGACTTACAGGTATTGTTATGTTTCAGTTTACTTGCAGGTAAATGTTACAGGAATTTTTATATTTCACTTGCTTGCGACTGGCGAGTAAATGTTACAGGTATTTTTTCATGTTTCAGTTTGCTTATTTATTTTTATGTTTCACTTTCCCTACATGGATGTCTACTTTAATCTACCAATCTCATAAATTATCCGCGTATATATACAAATGAAAGACTGATTTTTTATATGTATATGTGGATAATTTTTGAGATTGGTAGATTAAAGTAGACATCCATGTAGGGAAGGTAAAACATAAAAATAAGTAAATAACTAACTTTTATTTACTGTATCTGACCAGTACCAGTTTGGTTAGGTGAATTGCAATAAAGTTGCATTGATATTGTTTGAAAATATTTTATTATCATTAAATGTTTATGAGTAAATCCCAATAGCAGAACAATAAATTTTTAGAGATTTCCAATAATTTTGGTCATTGTAGCGGCTAATGTAGCGGTGCTACATTTTACTGTAGCGGTAGCGGTAGCGCCCGCTACAATCTAGTGGGTGTAGCGGTAGCGGCGCTACATTTCAAAGTAGCGCTGCCCAGCTCTGCAAGTACTAACCTCTGTGGTGGACCACATAGCAATGACAAGCTAAATGGCGGGTCTACACGAAGTGAATTATTAGTTCTCTCAAAAACCGAAATGACAGTACATGTAACCTAGCTATCGTCCCTAACAACGCCTCACGTCTCACCAGAAAAAAACACCACTAAATCAACTCGAATGATTAATACACAAATTTTGCATTATATCTATTTTAGATT